CAGTGTCCACGGCCGTGGTCCATTGGCACAACAGTTGGTCGGACTACTATCGTGGTCGTCCCCGGATAATGATCGTACATATCCTAACCTACAGATACTGGCAACGGCTGTACCGGCTGGTACACCATCAATGTATGACTTACCGGCAGCACTGGTAGCTAACGAAACACTCAGTCAACAATTAGATCGATATAATATGGAAATACAATCGACAGATTATCTACAATTTGTTACCGGTTTGGTTCGACCAGTTAGTTGCGGATCGGTACGACTGGCCACTAGCCACTGGTCAGATCCGCCACTACTAGATCCCCGGCTATTATGGCAACCTATTGATCGGCAACGTATGCGACAGGCATTGACCGATGCCTATCGTTTTGTCGAGACTACTAGTTTGGGTCGATATGTTAGGATACCGAACGTACCGTTACCTCCGTGTAGCTACTGTTCCCCATCACTGGGTAGTAGTAGTAGTCCTGTATATCAGTGTCAAACTTATTTGGATTGTCTGATGAAACAATGGGCCGGTACTGAGTATCATCCGGTAGGCACGTGTCGTATGGGTGACCCCAGCCGTAGGGATACTGTAGTCGATCCACGATTGCGTGTCAAAGGTATCCAAGGGTTGCGTGTAGTCGACTCATCCGTCTATCCGGAGATAATCAATGCCAATACAAATGCCGGGGCAATGTTGGCCGGGGAGATGGGCGCCCGATTCATACATGAAGATAATCAATAATCAATAATAATAATAATAGTAAATTAAAATAAAAAATAATTAATTAAAATTAATTAATTTTTTTTTATAAAAAAAGTTATAATTTATTATTATATTACTATAATTTGATTGTTTTTTATATATATATAATTATTGTGATTGTGTTTCAAAATTATTTATTTTTTTTTAATGTATAGATAATGTAATACTCTGTAATTAAAACATTATTATATTTAAAAAGTAGATAAAAAATAAATCAATTATATTTACAAATGTTATTATAAATGTTGATAAAACTTTTTATTTTTTTTAATTAAAATTATAGACAATAAAAAAATGTTAGACTATATAAACTGTTCAATCAATATAACTTTATATAAAGTATATGTATTAAAAATTGAAATATTAATTATTAATTTTTTTGTTTTAATTAGCCTATCAATAATTTTTTTATTTAAATATACTCAAAAATTTTAGCTAATTTTATTAGAAAAATATAAAAATATTTTATTTATAAAGTTTAGTTACTACTAAAAAAAATAAAAATATTTAACACACATGTTTTCAAACCAAATAAAATAAAAAAATATTTGACACAAATAAATATACAGTAAAATTGGTTAAAATAAAATTTTTATATTTTGAATATATTTTTTTTGTTATAATTGAAAAGTTATTTTAACTTATACTTGAATTTTAATTTAATTATTATTATAATTATTATTTTTTAAAATAAATATTTATATCAATAATAATAAAACTAATAATAATAATTATTATATTTTTTATATTTAACTATAAATAAATTAATCAATAAGTTTTATATACAGTATACACCGTTTATATATAAACAATAAATATAAAAGTTAATACTTAATCGTACACCATTACCACCGAAACCCCGATATGATTATATAGTAGTCGGCTCAGGCAGTGCCGGTGCTATTGTCTCGTGTCGTCTATCGCAATGGGGTTGGGATGTACTGTTACTTGAATCGGGAGGTCAGCCGTCTAATGCACTGTTAGATGATGTGCCGGGACTGGCATTTGGATCCCGTTATACATTATTACATTTGAATCAATATTGCCGATACAATCTACAGCCACAGCCCAATGCCGGTCAGTCCTATCCAAACAAATCTATTGTTGAACTTAATGGCCAGGGATTAGGTGGTGGCTCTACTGTTAACGGTATGGTCTATAATAGGTATATATACTGTATATACAACTATACGATATATATGTTATTTTGTTGTTTAACAAAAAAAATAATAATTTTTTTTATCAACAATTATATAATTGTTTAAATTTATACATTAATCAAACAAACAAAACATAAATAATTAAAATTATTTAATTATTTATAATAAGATAGTAATATATTATTATAATATTATAGTTAATTTAATTCAATAGATTTCATGAATAATATTATAGTAATTATTAAATTAAAAAATTTTAATAACAAAATTAATTTTATTAAAAAATAATTTATTTATTGATAATAACTATTCAAACTATTTATAAAATATTTAAAACATTTTTATTGTCTTTTTTTGGTTTCATTAGAGGTAATCATCAATACTATGATATGATTGCCTCAAAATACGGTGCCATTGGTTGGGATTACGCGAGTGTTTTGCCAGTATTTAAACTAATGGAAAACAATACCGACCCCCGGGTTATGGATGAATATCACGGACGTCAGGGACCGATAGGTGTATCGACACCGGGTGAACCGTATCCGATATTTCAGAAACTAGCCGAAGCTAGCCGTGAATGGGGTCTGGACTATAATGATGTCAATGGCCCAAATCAAACTGGGTTTACAAATGCACAGTCGACTAATGCCCGGGGTTTGAGATCATCGACTAGTAGTAGTAGTAGTAGTATATAATTGTGTTGTTGTTGATGATTAGGTCCAATAGCCAGGCCACAATTGCTAATGTTGTCGGGTGTGGGTCCCGTCCAACACTTATGGGATACGGGTATTCAGGAAATATATGCCGATCTACCCGGTGTCGGGTCAAACTATTGCGATCATGTACGGGTAATGTTGGAGTTCCCCCTACGCCAGCCAGGGTTGTTAGGCCCTGGGGTACCATCACTGGCCAACATGGATCAGCTATACGATGTCAATGCCCAGGGTACGGGTCCAATGGCCTACCACCCGGTCGGGCTGCTATCGTGGTCGTCCCCTGATAATAATAATACTAATACTAATAATAATACATATCCTAATCTTTAAATAATGTCAACAGTCGTACCAATTGGTACACCATCACTATATAGGGCATCGACAGCACTGGTAGCTAACGAAACTCTAAGACAGAAATTGGACGAATATTTTAGCGAATTTGTGGCCAATGATTATATAATGTTTATTACGGGACTGTTGGGGACCAGTAGTTGCGGTTCAGTACGACTGGCCACTAGTCAGCCTACAGATCAGCCCATAGTTGATCCACGATTATTATGGGAACCCATTGATCGGCTACGGCTGAGACAGGCATTGACCGATGCCTATCGTTTTGTTGAGACTACTAGTTTCGGTAGATATGTTAGGATACCTGAACTACCGTTTCCGCCGTGTAGCTACTGTTCCCCACCACCGGGTAGTACTAGTGGTAGTAGTCTTGTATATCAATGTCAAAGTTATTTGGATTGTCTGATGAAACAATGGGCCGGTACTGAGTTTCATCCAGTGGGTACCTGTCGTATGGGTGACCCCGGGCGCAGGGATACTGTAGTCGATCCCCGATTGCGTGTCAAAGGTATCCGAGTGTTGCGTGTAGTCGACTCATCCATCTATCCCGAGATAATTAATGCCAATCCTATGGCGGCAGCGATGTTGGCCGGAGAGATGGGCGCCCGATTCATACGTGAAGATAGTAGTAGTAGTAGTAGTAGTAGTAGTAAATTGAGATAAAATTAATAATTATAGTTAATTTAATTATTATTTATTTTTATTATTATTATTATTATTATTATTATTTATATTATTATTTATTTTTATTATTATTTATTTTTATTATTATTTATATTTATTATTATTTATATTTATTATTATTTATTTTTATTACTATTTATTTTTATTATTCTTTATTTTTATTATTATTTTTTATTATTATTATTTATTTTTATTATTATTTTTTATTATTATTATTTATTTTTATTATTATTTATTTTTATTATTATTTTTTATTATTATTATTTATTTTTATTATTATATTTTATTGTATTGTATATTACTGTATATATTAAATTTGTGTTTTATTTATTATTTAATTTTGTGTTAAATGTTTAATTATTTTTTTGATAAAAATATTAGTTTCTATAAAATAATTATATTAATTGTATTATTATTTTTAAAAAATAAATATTTTTATTACTTAGTATATGTGATATTAAACATTTTTAGTGCAATAGATTAAAAAAATTTCCACATTTCCCATTAATTATCATTAATTAATTAATTAATTAATTTTTGAAGATCAATAATAATTGCATTATTTTTAAAATATAAATAATAACTTAAAAACTTATTATCTATTTTGGTTATATTGATAATAAATAGTCATATGAGCTAGACACTTCAAGTTAATTTTTATTATCAATATAATAATTAGATAAAATAAATTTGCTATTTTTTTATGAAACAATATTATTATTAAGGCTTAAAAAATTAATAACTAATAATAAATTAATTTTAATTTAAATTAAATGCATATTATAATTAGTTAAATCTTTATTAACTACAACAAAATTAATCAATTTTTTAAGTAATTTTTAATAATAAATATTTAATATTTTAATAAAAATAAAAAACAAACTTAAAATAAGTATATATATATTTTTATCAATTAATGTTATCTTAAATTAATTTTATTTTTTGAATGTCAAGTTAATTGTTTTTATTTTTAGCAAAAATAAAATAAAAATTATCACAAATCCTCATTATTTATATACTTATATTATTATTATTATTATTATAATTATCGTTATACTAAATTACAAAGATCATTTTTCTTATCTAATAATTTTATTATCATAAAGATTTTTATGTATGTCTTAAAAACGTGTGTGGTAAAAAAATGGAAAAAAGTAAAAATATTAACTAATATATACCTGTATATATATATATATATATATATATATATATATATATATATATATATATATATATATATAGTAATATTGATAACTAATCAGTAATGTTGAAATGTATTTTTTAATATTTTATTTTTAGTATAAATAGCTCAAGTGTGCCTTGAACAAAAATATTATTATTATTTAGTTTGATTACTAATTGAACTAGTACATCTAATTATGAAAATAATAGCATTATCAGCCGTATTGTTTATTGTTGGTTGTTCTGGTTTGTCAACCGGTATTAGTAAACGGGAGTTTGACAATCAATGGGAACAGTTCAAGGTAGATTTTTATTATTTTAATTAAAAAATACTAAAAAAAATGTATATATTAAATTAATTTTATTTTTAAAAAAATAAAATAAAATCATCTAGCAACAATACCGATCGGACATCAATGGCTACCAAAGTCAAGATGAGGAACAATACCGGCGATCGGTTTTCGAAGATAATTACCGTAAAATTGTCGGACACAACTTGGAAGCCGCTCAGGGCGTTCATACCTATACTATGGGTGTTAACGGTTTTTCAGATATGACTAGTGCTGAATTTTTAAATAAATATACTAGCCATTTGGAACCAATTGATGTCCAACAATTACCAATGACCGTTTACAATGCATCGGTATCGGTACCCGATTCACACGATTGGCGATCATCCGGTAAAGTCGGACACATTAAAAATCAGGGACAAGTATGTATCAAATATATATATATATATTATATATATATTATATATATATATATATATATATATAGAAAAATAACCTAGATAATAATTATTTTCATTAATTTAACTAGTGCGGTTCATGCTGGGCATTTGCATCGGTAGCCATCATTGAAAGTACGTAATTTATTATCATTATTATTATTATTATATAAAAACTAAAAGATTATATATATATATAAAACTATCATGTCTGCCTAATTGCTATAGCAACTGTAAACAAGTAGTTACTATAGTACAAGTGGTATAATTAAGTTGTAAATAGTAGTTGTTTATTGTTGCTATAGCAATTAGGCAAACATGCAGGTTTTAAATATAATCTATTAGTTTTACTAATAACTAAATTTGACCTCTAATTAACCTTCAACAAATATTTTAATAAATAATGTTATCAAGGTCGATTGGCCATCAAAAAGGGTAGCCTGCGTACCCTATCGGAACAGGAGATCATTGACTGTACTTCGGGCTATGACTGCCAACACGGCGGTAACATCCAGATGGCCACTCAAACCCTCAATCGATTGGGCGGTATTGAAGGCGATAACGATTATCCTTATATTAGCGGATCGGGCGGTAAAGGTTCATGTCACTATCAGGCTGCCCGACGGGTAGCACATGTAGGTACTAGCCTGCACTCGGTATCCGGTGAGGCAGCTATGCAACAGTCTGTCTACCAAAACGGACCCCTATACGTGCACGTGTATGCTAACGCTGATTTCCAACATTACCGATCGGGTATATTCAGCTCGGGTAGCTGTAATGCCCAGATTAATCATGCCGTCACCGTTGTCGGTTATGGCCCCGGTTATTGGATAATCAAAAATTCGTGGGCAACCTCATGGGGTGAACAAGGTTTCATGCGTATGACCCGCGGACACGATATGTGCCGTATTTCATCGTCGCCCATCTGGACCGATGATGTCCAATAAATTAAATTAATAAATTTAGCATGGTGAAACGACAACACACACACTAAACAAGCTAAAATTCCCGCTAAAATTATAGAATTTAAAAAAAACTAAAATTGTAATATACTGTATTTTTTTAAATTAATTATAAATATACTGTATTTAAAATATAAAAATTAAATAAATAATATTCAAAAGCAATATATATATATTGATATTATTATTATTTTTATATATAAATTGTGTTATAAATCTATCAGTGATTTTTAAAAAATGAATTTTTTTTAATTAATTATATTTATTTATGTTAGTATTGATAACTAAACATACTTTTTTAGAAAAAAAAATCAATCTTGATTATTATTTAAAAAAAATTATTTAATGGTACATGTATAATTTTTAATATTACTACTTTAGTATATATATATAACTTTATATTTATCATAAATAAATACTAACATGCTACAAAATTGAGTATTAAAACTGTAAAATGTATTTAAAAATGTTATTAACAGTTAAAATAATCTAGTTCTGTTTATTGATATATAATTGAATAATGCAGTTTGTAAAAAAAAATATAAACTAAAATATATTTTATATTTAAAATTTAGTTCTAATATAAATGCAAAAAAAAACTTTATGCTAATAATTTGAAAATATAAAAAAATTGTTTGCTTAAAAAAATAATTTTTAAAAATTTGAAAAAAATAAATATTAAAAATTATAAAATTATTCGTTTTTATTTTATGTATGATTTTTTCAAATTAATTTTTTTAAGTAAATAGTACTCTAGTACAAGTAGTAGTCTAGTATAAGTAAATATACAATATATATAATAGTAATAATAATAATAATAATAATATCCTAGTTATTGCACTTAATGTACCTTTATTATTATTTTTWTTAATAATGTATAACATTGACATTAATGAACCTATATCACTTTTTTTAGTTTATTTTTATTATATATATATATATAWATCATATATTAATRAGAAAAATCATATGAAATGCAATAATCAATTTGTATTAACTCAAGTATTTAACTTTTATTGATATAGTAATACTAGAATTAATACTAAAAAATATACCAATAATAATAATAATAATAATAATAATATACAATATTACAGTACACTATTGTACTAAATTATCTAGCTAAATCAATATAAATAAAAAAATCAATCAAACAAACTTATGAAAAAAAAATTATTTCATAATTTTAATTAGAAATTTTAATCCCCACGAGTTTTTATCCCAAACAAAATAATAATAATAATAATAATAATAATAATAATAATAAACTGTCAAGGATAATTTTGATAAAATTTTTTATTTTAATCTTGATAATAGATTAATAGTTTATTTTTTAAAATTTCTATATATATATATAAATAAAACTGGGTATATATATATGACAACTTAATATTATTATTATTTATTAGTTATTGTTATTATTTCTATTAATTAATTAATTAATTAATTTTRATTAATTAAATAAAAAATGAAAYTAATTTGTCTAGTATCATTATTGATTTTGGGCACTRTATCATGTTTGTCCATTGATGATGCTGAAGTACAGGAACAATGGGAATTGTTCAAGGTAAATATAATTTAAAACTATTAAAAAATAGCTAACTTAAAAAATTAAAAAAATAAGCAACTTAAATTTTATTATTAWWATTTWTATATATCATCTAGCAACAATACCGATCGGACACCAATAGCTATCTGAGCGTTGATCAGGAAAAATACAGGCGTTCAGTATTTACGGAAACTTACCGTAAAATTACCAAACATAACTTGGAAGCTGAACAAGGCCTGCATACCTATACTATGGGTGTAAATCAATTTTCCGATATGACCCAGGAGGAATTTCTCGCTAAATATACTACACCAAACCTGCAGTCGATTGACATCCAGAAACTGCGTCCGACAATTGTAAACCAGTCGGTATCGGTACCCGATTCGCATGATTGGCGCAGTCAGGGTAAAGTGGGACCGGTCAAAAATCAAGGCGGTGTATGTACCATATAATATATAACTAGTAGTACACTATTTAACTATAAATAACCTAGGGTACTAATTAATTAATTAATTAAATATATATATATTTAGTGTGGTTCATGTTGGGCATTTGCTTCGGTAGCCATTTTTGAATGTAAGTATAAATTTAAAAATTAACCTAGTATATACTATATATATAATTCTAAATTCTATTAAATCTAAATTTGAGTAATATATTGTATACAGTTAACTTTACGCTAAAGCAAGGTAACTTTAGGTATACAGGTATATTATGATAATATATATAAAAAGTACCTTGCTAAATCATTACTCAATAATATTACTCAAAATTTAAACAAAATTTTTATGTGACATAAACTGTGTATATCATTGTACATATAAATATTTAACCTTCAAATAACCTTCAAAATTAATTATTATTATTATTATCTAGCTCGTTTGGCCATTAAACGTGGGGGTTTCCGATCGCTATCGGAACAGGAGATTATCGACTGTACCTCAGGCTATGACTGCCAACACGGCGGTAACATACAGATGGCCACCGATACTCTGCGGCGATTGGGCGGTATCGAAGGCGACAGTGATTATCCGTATATTAGCGGCGGCGGCGGTAAAGGCCAGTGTCACTATGACGGTGGCCGTCGGGTAGCATCGGTCGGTACGAATCTGGCCTATTTGCAGGGCGAAGAACAAATGAAATGGTCGACCTTTACGAACGGTCCCGTTTACGTACACATAATGGCCAAYGGTAATTTCCAAAGTTATCGAGGGGGTGTCTACGCTGATGGTAGTTGTAATCAGCCGATCAATCATGCGGTTACTATTGTCGGCTACGGGCCGGGCTATTGGTTGGTCAAAAATTCGTGGGGCGGCGGCTGGGGTGAGGGCGGTTACATACGTATGGCTTTTGGACAGAATATGTGCCGTATCAGTGAATCGCCCATTTGGACCGATGATATTAACTAGGTTATTTTAACTAGTTAATTAATTAGTTAATTAACAAAATTTTTCAACTAGTTAATTAATAAAATTTTAGCTTGATATTTTATTTAAAAAAAATAAACATGCATGTTTATCAGCTAAAAGTTATAATGTTTATTTTTTAATCAGTAAAAATAAATAAAATTATTAATGTATTATTATTTAATTTTTTTTTATATATAATTCAATAACAAGTACAGTAAATACTATATATTGATAACAATTAATTCTAATAATTGAAATAGATTTAGTATTAATTTTTGTTTTAAAATTTAATATCTTATTAAAAAACTAGTTTATGTATAGTGTAGGTATAATGTTATACAGTACACAATACTACCATAATTATTTTAATAAATTATTAATTTTATTTGATCCTTAAAAAATTTGTATAAATAATTTAATTAAATAATAACTTAATTTTATATTTAAATAATATTATAATTGTTATAGAAATATAATTATAGAAAAATTAATATATAAATTATTATTTATTAAAAAAATATATTTATTAAGTTCTGTATTATTATTAATTGCACATAAGTTGAGTAATTTTTTATTTATAATAGTTATACAAATTTATTTTCTAATGAAAAACAAATATTTTTATCTATATATATTATTTTAATTTTTTTTAATGAAACTAGTTTTTTTTTTAAAAAATTTTCATATCATAAATATTAAATGAAAATAATTTTAAATAAAAATACAAAAATGATCGAATTTAGTATCTAATTATATTTCAAGTTATACTTTACAACGAATGCATTTTTTTAGTTTTATTAAAATTAAAAATATATATATATTTAAGCATGAAAATTATGAATACACTTTAATTAATTTAAACATATTTTATTAAATATTCAATTATGGCCGAAGCTGCCCGGGTATGGTGACTCGAATATACGGCCAATTAATGGCCCAAAATCATAACTGGGTTTACAATTGTACAGTCGACTAATGCCCGGGAGGTTTGAGATCATCGACTTTGACGGCTTACTTGGAAAGTGGTATTAKGTCCCCAATTGACTATTGTTACCCGGTGCTCAGGTATCCAAAATAATAATCACACGTAACAACAACAACAGTGGACTACCACCTCGAGCACAGGGAGTTGAATTTATCAAAGAATCGGTTCAACATAAGGTTATGGCCAACAGGGAGGTCATAGTATCGGCAGGTAATACATACACATATATAATATTAATATATATATATATATATATAACATAAAAGTTGCAAAAGGTTTTCGGGGGTCTCAGGGTGGGGTATAGGGGGCGGAGGGTTAAAATGTCAAAAAATCTTATATAGAGGGGCAGAACAATTTTTAATGCATTTTTAAACGACAATTTTTAATGAATGCTTACTTGGAAAGTGGTTTTTTTTGTCCCCAATTGAATATTGTTACCCGGTGCTCAGGTATCCAAAATAATAATCACACGTAACAACAACAACAAAGATCAAGCATCACCACCACAAGCACAGGGAGTTGAATTTATCAAACAATTTCAAGTACATAAAGTAATKGCTAAACGGGAGGTCATAGTATCGGCAGGYGATACATAAAAACACATATAATATAAGTAGGGTTAGATCAKATTCYCTCCCTCRTCTTATTTTCCTTAAAGTTCTTATATTCCCTSTTCCCTGGGAAGACATTTCCTTGTGGTACACCACCTATAGTACCCTAACTCATATTACATAATGTTTTATTTAAAAACACGTTTGTATAGTAAATATCTACAAAATGTATTTAATGTTTTTTACTAAATTTTTAATAATATTTGAATCATATACTAATATACTTGTCCCAATTGAAACACATAGTCATTTAGATTAGGTACTTTTTAATGTATGACAAATTATATTTTCCTTTTCTAACGATCAATGGAGGGAATATAATATATTTTCCATATTTTCCGGGAACTTCCCTCCCTTGGAATCTCAATCTAACCCTAAATATACAGTACTATATATCTAATTGTTGTTGTTTGAATAGGACCCATACTAAGTCCACAGTTACTAAATTACAAAGATCATTTTTTTTATCAAATAATTTTATTTTCTATATTTTTGAAAAATATTTGTCTGTTAAAAAAACGTGTGTGGTAAAAATTTTAAAAATTAAATATATTAACTTGTAATACTTATATATATATATAATACTTAAATATCATCATACAATAATATTGATAACTAATCACTAATGTTGAAATGTATATAATAAATGTGTATAATAAAAAATTGTTCAAGTATAAATAGTCCAAATGTGCCTGCTTAAAAAATTATTATTATTATTTTTATTCTATTATTTAACTAGTAAATTCAACTAGTACATATAATAATGAAAGTAATAGCATTATCAGCCGTACTGTTTATTGTTGGTTGTTCTAGTTTGTCTACCGGTATTAGCAAACGGGAGTTTGACGATCAATGGGAACAGTTCAAGGTAGATTTTTTTTTAAAAAAAATTTAATTAAAAAAAACTAAAAAAAACCTAAAAATTTATATATTAAAAATCATCTAGCAACAATACCGATCGGACATCAATGGCTACCAAAGTCAACATGAGGAACAATATCGGCGATCGGTTTTCGAAGATAATTACCGTAAGATTGTCGGCCATAACCTGGAGGCCGCCCAAGGCGTTCATACCTATACTATGGGTGTTAACGGTTTTTCGGATATGACTAGTTCGGAATTTTTGAATAAATATACTAGCCATTTGGAACCAATTGATGTCCAACAATTACCAATGACCGTTTACAATGCATCGGTATCGGTACCTGATTCGCATGATTGGCGATCATCCCGTAAAGTTGGACATATTAAAAATCAGGGACAAGTATGTGTAAATATATATATATAGAAAAATAACCTAGTTAATAATAATTTTTTTTTGAATTTAACTAGTGCGGTTCATGCTGGGCATTTGCATCGGTAGCCATCATTGAAAGTATGTAATTTATTATTATTATTATTATAATATAAAACTAAAAGAATATATATAAAACTATCATGTCTGCTTAATTGTTATAACAACTGTAAACAATATGTTATTATAGTACAAGTGGTATAATAGTTGTATATAGTAGTTGTTTAGTGTTGCTATAGCAATTAGGAAAACATGCATGTTTTAAATATAATCTTTTAGTTTTTTTTTAGTTAATAATAACTAATTTTGACCTCTAATTAACCTTCAAAAAAAATTTTTTATTAAAATTAATTTTATCAAGGTCGATTGGCCATCAAAAAGGGTAGCTTACGTTCCCTATCGGAACAGGAGATCATAGACTGTACATCTGGCTATGACTGCCAACACGGCGGTAACATCCAGATGGCCACCCAAACCCTGAATCGATTGGGCGGTATTGAAAGCGATAACCACTATCCCTATATTAGCGGATCGGGCGGTAAAGATTCATGCCACTATCAGGCTGACCGTCGGGTAGCACATGTAGGTATCAAATTGCACTATGTATACGGTGAGGCAGCTATGCAACAGTCAGTCTACCAAAACGGACCCCTATACGTGCACGTGTATGCTAACGCTGATTTCCAACACTATCGATCGGGTATATTCAGCTCGGATAGCTGTAATGACCAGACTAATCACGCGGTAACCGTTGTCGGTTATGGTCCCGGTTATTGGATAATCAAAAATTCGTGGTCAACCTCATGGGGTGAACAAGGTTTCATGCGTATGACACGCGATCACGATATGTGTCGCGTATCGTCGTCGCCCATCTGGACCGATGATATCCAATAAATTAATTACAATTAATTTATATTAATAATTAAATTTAGCATGGTGACACGAAAAAACTAGCACTAACTAAATTAATTATAAAATTCCCGCTAAAATAATTAAAAAAAAACTAAAAATTGTAATATATAGTATTTTATTTTATTAATTATAAATATTATGTATTTAAAATATAAAAATTAAATAAATAATATTCAAAAGCAATATTTATATATTGATATTATTATTTTATATAAATTGTGTTATAAATCTATTAATTAAAAAAAATTTAAATTTTTTAATTAATTATATTTATTTAAGTTATAGTATTAATAACTAAACAAACTTTTTTTATATAAAAAAATCTATCTTGATTATTATCAAAAAAAAAGTTATTTAATGTAAATGTATTTTAGGTTAGTAATTATCATAGAATTTATTTATATTATATAATTGTTCAAGATCATAAATAAATATTAACATGGTACTAAATAAATTATTAAACTGTTATTAATAATTAAAATAATCCAGTTTTGTTTATTGATATAATTAATAATGCAATGTTTGTAAAAAAATAAACATAAAAGATTTTAGTTTTTTGAGTTAATAAATATATATTGTATTATACTTTAAAAATTTAGTTGTAATATAAATGCAAAAAAAACTTTAATGATAATAATTTTAAAATATATACAAAATTGTTTGCTTAAAAAATATTTTATAAAAAGAACTTTAATTTCTAATTAATTTTTATTTTAATTTATTATTAATATTAATATCATATATTTATAAGAAAAGTTAATTAATAAAATAAATATCAACTAAGTAAAATAAAATATTATGTTATAATTTTTTTTAATAAATAAATAAAAATAAAATTAACATCATTAAAATGTTGTTGTTGTTTTTTTAATAATAATATAATTAATTTTTGTATTGTTTAGATTTTTTAAATCTAAATATTTGATTTGTTTATTTTATTAAATTTTTTTCGTTAAAATTTTATATTATCAATCAAAATATATAATTTTATAAATATTTCTACTATAAAGTAATATATTTATGTTTAAGTAAAAAAATTCATGTATTTAACTTTATTTAATATATTATTATTACTTTTTATTTTATGATACATACTATATACTGATAACAATTAATTCTAATAACTCACATAGATAAAGATTTAATATTAATTTTTGTTTTAAAATTTAATATATAATAAAAAAATTGTTTTTAGTTTAGGTAGATACAATGTTATACTTTAAACAATACTACCATAATAATTTTAATTTAACCATTTATTAATAAATTTTTTGTCTTAAATATTATTTTTATTCGATCCTAATAATTCAGTTTAATAATTTAATTAAATAATAAATTTTAATTATTAGTTATTTAAAATATATTATATTTTTTAAAGTACTGTATTATTATTAATTGCACATATGTTGAGTAATTTTATAATAGTTACGAAAGTTTATTTTCTAATGAAAAACAAAAAATATTTATTATTTTAACTTTTATTTAAACAAACAATTTTTTTTAAATTTTCATGTAATATATATTAATTGAAATAAATTTTAACTTAAAATACAAAATGATCAAATTTGGTATCAAATTATATTTTGCATAAATAAATTTTTTATTTTTATTAATAAAATTTATTTATATATGCAAATTATAGTAATAAGTTTTAAAATAAATATATTTTTATTAAATATTAAATTATGTTTACATGTACTTTTATTATTATTTTATAATTTTAAAATTACATAATAATTTTCTTAATAATTCTAACTAATTGTTAATATATAAGTTGAATAAAATTTTAATGAGGGTTAAGCAAGTTTTTTAAAAGAGAAAGATAAAATTTCAAAAATTAAAAAAATGATTAAAATATAAATAAAACTCATTTTGATTCTCAAAATAATTATTGTTATTTAAATTTAAAATTTAATTTTTAAATTTATTTACAAATAAATTACATATTATTATTTTTTAGAAAAATATATTTAAATTAAGTTCAAGATACTGTAATTAAGTTTTCTACTTTATTAAAAAAAATATTTTATAACTTCTTTATGATTTAACTATAGGATTATAATTTTTTCTAACTAGATAAATAAAATTATTTAACTAAATTTTTTTAAAAAATTGCTCAATTTAAAAAAAATTTAAAATATCTAAAATTTAACAACCCTGTAGAGATATAATAAAAACTTAAAAATTAATTTTTCTTTTAAAAAACTACATATCATCGATTTACAAATGTTTAGACTAACTTTTTTTTAAATAAAATAAATTTAATTGGAATTATTACTTTTCAAAAAAATCAACAAAAAATATTTTGTAATGTTCAATAATTATAATATAAAAAATAAAAATAAAAAATAGTATAAATATCACCTGTGTACAAAATGAAAAATTATTCAATCCTAAATTATTGATTAAAAATTATTATTTTAAACAACTAGATAATAAATAGTCTACAATGAATTTATTAGTAACATAATCATTATTGAATGTTGTTTGTTTTAGTTTTTCAGCTAATTTAAATATTAGCGATCATGAAATTTCCGAACAATATCAATTATTTATAGTAAGTTAATTAAAATATATTAAAAAAATTACTATAAAAATTAATTTTTTATTTATCTAGAAAAAATATCATCATGGCAACATAAATAATAAGAAAGTTGTCAATAATTATCGTCGATCAGTATTTGCCGAAAATTACCGCAAAATTACCGAACATAACTTGGAAGCCAAACGCGGAACTCATACGTATACTATGGGTGTCAATGCGTTCAGCGATTGGACTAGTAAGGAATTTTTGGAAAAATTTACAACAAAAATGCCATCGACTGATATCCAGAAATTACGTCCGACTAATGTTACAAATGTTGGAGATTCTAATTTACCTGATCATTTTGATTGGCGTACCCGGGCCATTGTTGGTGGAGTCAAAAATCAAGGCAGTGTATGTATTAAAAAATTAAATCGAATTTTATTTTGATAAAAAAAATTAAAATTATAAAAATATAAATTTTATTTTAAAAATAATGTTTAATAATTATTTAGTGCGGATCATGTTGGGCATATGCTACAGTAGCCATTTTAGAAAGTACGTAGTATATATATATATATATATATGTTTAACCTTCAAACGACCTTTATATATATTAAATAATTTAACCTTCAAATGACCTTAAAATTTGTAAATTTTTTATTTTTTTATAACTTTACATCATACACAGCACGTTTGGCCATAAAACGCAACTACCAATTAGCACGGACGGTAGTAAGCGGGCAGCTTTTGTAGGTACCAATTTGGCCCAATTGCAGGGCGAGGATGCTATGAAATGGTCGATCTATACCAACGGGCCTATTTATGTGCATATTACGGTCAACGATAATTTTCAACATTATCAACAAGGTACATTTAACGATCCGGGTTGTAATCAGCAACCAATAAATCATGCGGTAGCCATAATTGGTTACGATAATGATTTTTGGATTATTAAAAATTCCTGGAGTGACCAGTGGGGTTGGAATGGTTATATAAATTTTGCCCGGGGCCAGAATATGTGCCGGGTCAACGAGTATCCTGTTTGGACAGATGATATTAATTAAAAAATTTTGATTGATTACACACTAATTTTTTGATTAGTTAAGTTAATTTTTATAAATTAATTTAGTTAAATATTTAAAAAAAATTATAAATATGTATGTTTATAAATTGATTGAAATTTTTGTATATTGTTTCGTTAAAAATTGTTAATTATTTTATTTTTAATAATTTAATTTAATAAAATCAATTGACTAAACATTTTTTGTTTTTATTTACAATATATTTATAAAAAAAACATTTTTTCGCTATATTATTATAGTTTTTTCTAAAAAATAAATTTAGAATAATTTTTTTAACTTTAAATGAATTTGTTTTTAAGTTTTATTTTTATAAATATGTTTTATAATAAGTATATCAAATAAATATACAAAAAATCTTATATAATAATTACAGTAATAATATTTGTTTATTAATATCAAACAATTAATTAATTTATTTATTTCATACATAATATATAAGCCATTTAGTTTTATAATTAATTAATAATTAATTAATTAATCAACTATACAATAGTATAACCAATATTAATAGCCAATCAAATATTTTATTTATTTATTTAAATAAATTATAATGTATTAAATAAAAGTAAAAACAGGTATATATATATATATAATGATAATTGTAATGTAAATATAAACAGTACAACAAAATAAAACACAAAACAAAATTAATTATTTATGTAAATAATAACTAATAGATAAAAAGGATTATTAAGTTATTATATTAATCATATTAAAAAATAAATAAATAACCATGCTGGTATTTTTAATTTTTTTGTTTATTTGTTTTATTTAAAATGGCACATGTGGTGGACTTTTATTAAAACTGTATTATAATTTTATTTATCTATTAATTTTTTGATGTGAAAAAATTATAAAACTGTATCAAACAATATATTTAATATATATATATTAAATATATATATTATTATATATTTAATTAGTTTTTTATATTATAATTAAACTATTAAATTAAATTAAATATGTATTTAACAAAAGCATATCTAGTGTTTACAATTATATGGCACCGGCAGCTACAGCACAACCTAGTGGCCAATCGTACACCACTACCACCGAAACCCTCATACGATTATATAGTAGTCGGCTCCGGTAGTGCCGGTGCTATTGTCTCGTGTCGACTATCCCAATGGGGTTGGGATGTCCTGTTGCTTGAGTCAGGCGGTCCGCCTAATGCACTGATAGATGATATCCCGGGCCTGTCATTTGGGACCAGATATACACCGATACATTTGTTGGCCAAAAATTTTCGCCAATACAATCTGCAGCCACAGCCCAATGCCGGTCAGTCCTATCCAAACAAACAGATACCTGAATACAAAGGTCATGGTTTAGGTGGTGGCTCTACTGTTAACGGTATGGTCTATAATAGGTATGTTTTTTTTGTAGTAGTAGTAGTATTATTAACAATAATAATAATATTATTATTAGTAGTAGTAGTATTAATAATAATAATAATATTATTATTATTTTTATTATTATTATTAGTAGTAGTAGTAGTAGTAGAAGTAGTTTTTTAAATGTATTAAATTATACATATTTTTTTTGTATATTCAATTGTATTATATAATATATTTTAGTATATTTAAAAAAAATAATAATTATGTGTTTGTTTATACTGTTTATAGCTATAAATGTTTTCTTAAAAAAAAAATATTGTTTAAAATATATTTTTATAATTTTTGTTTTTATGTTTTTAGAGGTAATCGCAAATACTATGATATGTTAGCCGATAAATACGGTGCCATTGGTTGGGATTACGCGAGTGTTTTGCCAGTATTTAAACTAATGGAAAACAATACCGACCCCCGGGTTATGGATGAATATCACGGCCGACAGGGACCGGTACGAGTGTCCACAGCAAGCGATCCGTATCCTATATATTTGAAACTAGCCGAAGCTGCTGCCCGTGACTGGGGACTGGACTATACGGATATCAATGGTCCAAATCAAACTGGGTTTACAATTGCACAGTCGACCAGTGCCCGGGGTTTAAGATCATCGACTTTGACGGCTTACTTGGAAAGTGGTTTATGTCCACAGTTGACTATAGTTACTGGAGCTCAGGTATCCAAAATAATAATCACACGTAACAACAACAACAACAACAAAGGTCAAGCATCACCACCACAAGCACAGGGAGTTGAATTTGTCAAACAATTTCAAGTACATAAAGTAATGGCTAAACGGGAGGTCATAGTATCGGCAGGTAATACACACATATAATATATATATAAGTATATATCTAATTGTTTTTTTTTTTATTAGGACCTATACTAAGTCCACAGTTGCTAATGTTGTCGGGCGTGGGTCCCGTCCGACACTTACGGGATACGGGTATTCGGGAAATATATGCCGATCTACCCGGTGTCGGGTCAAACTATTGCGATCAGGTACGGGTTGTACACGAGTTTCCACTACGTGGTGAACCTGGTTTACTAGGCCAGTCAGCACCATCACTGGCCAACATTGACCAGTTATACGAGGCCAGTGTCCATGGCAGGGGTCCATTGGGGCAATACCCGGTCGGTATACTATCATGGTCTACCAGGGATAATCTGGACCCTACCTATCCTAATCTACAGATAATGGCTACACCTATGCCCAGGGGTAGTCTATCGGCGTATTCGTTGCAATCGATAGGACAGGTAGGCGATTGGACATTGAAAAAACAACTGGCCGCATATAGTTTGCAAATGGCTTCCACAGATTTTCTAGTATTTGTTACCGGTTTGGTACGGCCCAGTAGTTGCGGTTCGGTACGACTGGCCACCAGCCACTGGTCAGATCAGCCACTACTGGATCCCCGGCTATTATGGCAACCTATTGATCGGCAACGGCTACGGCAGGCATTGACAGATGCCTATCGTTTTGTTGAGACTACTAGTTTCGGTCGATATGTTAGGATACCTACACTACCGATACCTCCGTGTAGATACTGTTCCCCACCATCGGGTAGTACTGGTGGTGGTATTCCTGTATATCAATGCCAAAGTTATTTGGATTGTCTAATGAAACAATGGGCCGGCACTGAGATGCATCCGGTGGGTACATGTCGTATGGGTGACCCCGGGCGCAGGGATACTGTAGTCGATCCACGATTGCGTGTCAAAGGTGTCCGCGGGTTGCGTGTAGTCGACTCGTCCGTCTATCCCGAGGTAATCAATGCCAATACAAATGCCGGGGCAATGTTGGCCGGGGAGATGGGCGCCCGATTCATACATGAAGATAATCAATAAATAATAATAATAATAATTAATGACTTAATATTAATTTATTGATAATTATAATAATACTAATAAATATTTTTTTATTGTTATTATTTATATTTTTTTAAATAAATTTTTTTTGTATTTCGCTAATGTTATTTTTAAAAAAAAAATTATTATTTGAAAAATATTAATTTTAAATTAACTAAATAACTATTTTTTGATAATAAAATTTCAATTTTGTTGTTGTTGTTGTTGTTGTAAGCAAAAATAAAATAAATTATTATAAGAATATAAATATATTTAATTAATAATTATAATTATGAATGTAAAATTAAATTAAAACATATAAAAGACTATATTTTTTTTTATAAAAAAAAGTAACTATCAATTTATCTATTTCTCATTTATTAATAATTATATATAAAAATAAAAACAATAAAAAATTAAGTTATAAATAACATATAGTCGATGACTCTTTCTATAGATTATTATAATTAATTAATTAATTATTATTATAATATATAGTTATTATAAGATAACTAATCATAATTCTAACTAATCTATATTATTATAGATTCATTGACATCTATTGATATCTTTAATATTATTTTATTTTTTAGATTATATTATATTTTTAAAAATTAAAAATAAATCTTGTATGAAATGCTAAATGATAAGTTAAAAATTACACTTAAAAATTACTATATATATAATCTATTTAATTTATCATTTTCATTTGAAATGCACAAGGTAAATTAATTAATTATATTTTTATTTGAAAAACATATATAACAATAAAAACTAAATAAATTTTGATAAATTTTTTTCTATATAAATATAACCATTGTTTCGCACATGTATTAAAAATAAAATTACAAAAAAGTTTATTAAATTAACAATTTTTAATTAACAAAAATTTAATTTTAATAAAAATAAAATAATGAAACTAATTTATCTAGTATCATTATTGATTGCAGCAAGCTCATGTTTGTCAATTGATGGCAATAATAATAATAATAATAATGATGATGTCCAGGAGCAATGGAAATTGTCCAAGGTAAATTATAATTAAAAAATATATATTTTTATTATAAATTTTTTAATTAAAAAAAATGTTTGTGGTTTCATCTAGCAACAATATCGATCGGACACCAATGGCTACCCGAACATCAGTTGAGGAACAATACCGACAGTCGGTATTCCGGGAAAATTACCGTAAAATTACTAAACGGTAATACGGAAGCCAAACTGGCCGTAGTACATACTCTATACTATGGGTGTTTCCGAGGTTTTACCGATATGACTAGCCGTGAATTTCTAGCCAAATATACCACTACTAGTCTAATGCCATTGGATTTCCAGAAAGTACGTCCGTCTCAATTAAACGTATCGGTTTCGCTGACCGATACGGTTGATTGGCGATCGCTGGGAAAAGTTGGTCCAATAAACAAAAACCAGGGTTATGTATATATCATATATATAATATACTGTATAATTAAATAATATTAATAAAAAAAATTATTAAAATAATAATTAAAAATAAATTAATTATAAATTAATAAAAAATAATTATAATTAATTTCTAAACATATTTTGTATAATATATATATATAGATTAAACCGCTATAATGTTATAATTGTTTCTATGATTATTCTATATAAAAAATTAATCTAGGTTGTTTATTAATTCTTAATTATAATTAATTATAACAATTAAAAAAAATATATATATGATATAATTCTAAAACCTGTAATAATTAAATAAAATAATAATTTTTTATTTTTTAGTAATAAATATCATTAATAAATTATTCCAGGTCATACTGTGCAAATTGATTTTTAATTAATATTTTCTATTCAATAATTTAATAAAATTATAATTTTTAATCCAATAATATATAACATTTAAATATATATTTATTATTAATTAATTATACTTAATAAATTTCAATTATTATTATTAATAAGTTTAAATATTATTTTTATTTGATCCAATATCTTATTTAAAAAATTTAATTGAATAATATTAATTTAATTTTATATTTTAATGATATTATAATTGATATATAAAAATTATTAATTAATTAAAATTAACTTTATGTTTTGAATTATTATTAATTGCAAATATGTTGAGTAATTTGCTAAAGGTTTATTTTATAATAAAATTTTTTATTATTTTAAGTTTTTTTTAAATTCATATTTTAATTAAAATTAATTTTAAATTAAAAAACACAAAATGATCAAATTTAATTAAATTATAAATTAGTTAATAGTTTACATAAATTGTATTTCTTATTTTTATCAAAAAAAAAACATAAAAATTAATTATTATAATTAAATTATTATAAAAGTTTTAGAATAAATATATTTTATTTAAAAAATTACATTATCTTTACATGTACTTTTATTTTATAATTTCATTAATGATTAATGATTTTCTTTAATTTCTTAATATATATATAAATATTAATTGAGTAATGTTTTAATTAAGGTTGAGCAAGTTTTTTTTTGAGAGAGAATAAATAAATATTTTAACAGTAAATTTAAAAAAAAATACTATTATTATGTTTTTAATTAAAAATATTTTATTATAATTTTTATAATTTAAGTCAATAATATGCTATAAAATTATATATTTAAAAAAATAATTTTGTCTCAGATAATTTTTTTTTAAAAATAATTCTTTTCAACTATCTAAAAACTTAACCTTGTTTTGATAAATTTAAAAAAAATTTTTTTTTATTTTGCTTACTTATAAAACTACATATCATTGATTTACAAATGTTTTCTTTGTAAACTTTTTTAAAAGAAATTATAAAATCATAAAAAAACATTTAAAAAACATAATTATATGATTGTTTCAATAAAATATATATATAAAAAAAGCATAAAAAGCACTGTACAATATGAAAATAAATTCAATCGTAGATAATTATTGTTTTTTTTTCGAAAAGTTTTAATCAAAAATTAAAATTTTCAATAACCTAGTTTCCTTAATAGTTTGAAACTACAATGAATTTATTAGTAGTAGTAGCATTATCATTATTGAATGTTGTTTGTCTAAGTTTTTCAGCTAATTTACAGATTAGCAAACAAGAAATTTCGTTACAATATCAATTATTTTTAGTATGATATATATGTATATATATATTTTTAAAAAAATTACTTTATTAAATTATTTATATATATTTTTTTTAAATTTTATCTAGGAAACATATCCTCAACGTCAACATGTTAATAAATATAGAGAATCTGTATTTGCTGAAAATTATCGAAAAATTGCCGAACATAACTGGGAAGCCGAACGCGGAATTTATACGTATACTATGGGTGTCAATGCATTCACTGATATGACTAGTAAAGAATTTTTGGAAAAATTTACAACAAAAATGCCAACGATTGATATCCAGAAATTACGTCCGTTTCAATTGAACGTATCGGTTACGGTACCCGATTCGCTGGATTGGCGATCACTGGGAAAAGTTGGTCCAATCAAAAATCAGGGACAAGTATGTACTATCATATCATATTATCAATTATAGTATTAAAAAAAAATATTTAAAAAAAATTAAAAATTTATTTTATATTATATACAAAATCTAGTGCGGTTCATGTTGGGCATTCGCTACGGTAGCCATTTTGGAATGTATGTAAAAAAATTAATTTAAACTTAAATAAAAATGCTTGCGCCCTTCAAATAACCTTCAAATAACCTTCAAATAACCTTCAAATAACCTTCAAATAACCTTCAAATAACCTTCAAATAACCATCAAATAACCTTCAAATAACCTTTAAATTTATTTGTAAATGACCTATAGCTCGATTGGCCATAAAACGGGGTAGCTATCGATCACTATCGGAACAGGAGATTATCGACTGTACAGATGGATATACCTGTGCTGTGGGCGGTAACATCCAGATGGCACTCAAAACACTGAACCGATTGGGCGGTATTGAAGCGGATAGCGATTATCCGTACATAAGCGGTGATAAACATAAAAATCAGTGCGCTTATCAATCGGTTAAAACAGTAGCACAGGTAGGCACCAGTTATATTAATGTACAGGATGGCGAATCAGGTATGCAGCAATCAGTTTACATGAATGGACCACTGTATGTTCACGTTCATGTTAACGAAAATTTTCAACATTATCGGTCGGGTGTGTTCAGCGACCAGAATTGTGATCAGCAAATCAATCACGCCGTAAGTATTGTCGGCTATGGACCCGGCTATTGGCTAATTAGAAATTCATGGGATACCTGGTGGGGCGAGCAAGGTTATATTAGATTGGCCAGGGATCAAAATATGTGCCGTATTAGCGTATATCCAGTTTGGACGGATGATATTAATTAAAATTAACTATGTAAAAATAATTATAATTAATTTGTAGGCATTTTAATGCATTATATATATAAACTAGATAAATTTATACTGTATTGTTATTGATTTTCTATGGATTAAAAGTTGAAAAATTAATCTAACCTTGTTTATTTCTAAATTAATAAAAAACCTATTTTTAAACATATTTTTACTCAATTGCATATATATTTTGATTGATTATGATTTTTGATATTATGCAAATTAGAATTAATTAATATTTACTAGTCAATATTATTATTATTTTTTAAATTTAAAAATAAAAAATACAATAATAATTTTTAATCCAACAATAATTATACACAAATAATCAATTTAATAGTTAATATAATTTCTAAAAAAAATTACATATAATATTAAAAATATATTTTTGTTATTAATTTAATTAAAATTCATTTATTTATAGTTTTAACTTTTTTTTAACAAATAGGTTAATAAAAAAAATTACTTTTATTATAAAGTAGTATAAAAATAATCTTGTTTATTTACATATTTATGGCTAATATAATAATATTAAATATACTCTCTATTAGCTAAATATTTATGTAAATTATTTAATTTTAATTTAATTTTAAATTAAATATCCGATATTTTTTGTTTCACTGGTTGCTTGGTAACCACACTATAATCATGATCATCTTGGTCATTATCATCATGGTCATCAGTACGCTGTCTACATGAGATATCTATAATAATAATGATAATAATTTTAAATTTAAATAACTAATTTAAAAAAATATTTTTAACAATTTTTTTAGCAAATAAATATTTTAAATGCAAAAAATTAATAAATAAATTCTATATTTATTTTAAGATTTATTTTTTCATTGTGTACTAATTGAACTTACATTGACTATAACAGCAACAAATTCCGCATGAATTTAGACAACTGGCCACTAAGTCAACCAATCGTAGACAACCATTAGCATCCTTAAGCAGTTTATCTTGGTTAGCATTATCATCATCATCATCTATACACTCATTACACTCATCGATAGTAGTGTTGCCGACATTGCTAACTCTATCGCTAGCACTGGTAGTAGTGTTGACAGATTTAAGTTTTTTATTATTTTTTTTAGATTTATTACCACTAGAAACATCTACTTCTACATTAACTACACCGATAACATCTCTAACATCATGTTTGACCTTGTCAAGGTCATCGACTAGATCCAGGGTTTTATCTAAAATTTTATCGACATTGCCATCGTTGACAACTGAGTCAACCAAATCGTCCACATCATCGATCACATGGCCGACATCTTCGACCACTTGATCGACTTTATCGATAGCATTGCCAACTTTATCCGATGCTTTCGATAATCTATTGAATAGTTTACCCACTTTTCCACCACCCATAACCTTTGACCCCTTATCGCATACTTTACCAATATCATCATTTAGATCGCCTAGATCATCCAGTAAATTATCGGTTTTATCTATAACATTGACAACACTACCTATGGTACCACCTATATCACCCTGTTCAATATTGTCAACCATATTGTCTATAGCATCGACAAACTCGACGGTATCGTCAACTACTTGGCCAACTTTATCGACTACATGTTCAACTCGATGGATAGCGTTGCCAACTTTTCCCGTAGCTTTCGATAATCGATTGAACATTTTGCCCAATTTTCCGCCACCACCGCCCACTTTATCGGCCATTTTATCAGCCGTTTTACTAACACTATCGCATATTTGGCCACAATCGTCGACCACATCATCAATATCGTTGACCACTTGATCGGCCGTTTTGACCGCATGGCCAACACTGGCCACTACATCGTCTATGTCTCCTCCATCTTGGATAGTGTCCACTACATTGCCGACGGCTTCCGTAAAATCGCCGACATCTTCGACAACCTTATTATCCGACAAACAAACATAAAATTAATTTAAAAGCAAAATTAATTAAGAAAAAACAAAATTATAATTGTTGTTTTTTACTTTTTAAAATTTTTTAAAATAATCTATTTGCGTTTATATTTTATTTTATTTTTATCTAGTACATTTTATTATTGTATTTAATTATTTTAGCTATAATTTTCTTAAGATTTATTATCAATGTAATATCAATATATTGAAAGTATATTGAAAATATTTTTTAAAAAAGTTAAAATATTTAAAATATGCTTTATTTTACCCCCTACCCCTCATCATTCATCCACCCACACCCTTATTTACCTTATTGACATCATCTACGACATTTTCCACTTTATCAATAGCATTACCAACTTTATCCTTGGCTTTATTAAATTTTTTTGCCGCTTTATTTAATTTATTCATTAAAATTTTATTATAAAAATAAAAAAAATTAATTATTAATATATTTTTTTAAATTAAATAATTTATTATTATTACTATTATTATTATTATTATTATTTATTATAACTATTACAAATTATATAATATAGTATAAAATAGTTTTTTTTAATTTTAAACTTTTAGCTTATTTAACTGTACTTTTTTTTAAAAAAAAAACTTATTATCTAGTAGTATTTTTATTTAATAATTTATAATGTAATAAGTTGTTTGTAATTTTATTTTTTTTAAATATTTTATTAATAATGCTTATTATAAATGAAATTATATATTAATTACATATTTTTAAACACTTATTATTATAATTGTAATAATAATAATAATTATTATTAGATAATAGTATTGATATTAACTGCAAAATGTGATTTCAAAAGTCAAGTATTAGTATTTATTTATATCTTTGTTAATTATTTTGTATTACATTATTATTATTATTATTATTATATAATAGTATTTTTCATTAACAGTGTGTGGGTACATAATATTGATATTAATTGATTAAATAAATAAATATTATTTTAATTATTATTATTATTATTATTAATACATCAGTATCTATTCAACAACAAAATAAAACAAGTTTTTTATTTAATATATTAGATATTATTTTTTTTAGTGAAAAATCTTTAATAAGTATTGTTTTTAAAATAGCTATAAATTAAAACATTATTTTTTTTGGATATTATTGTATTTAAATGACTATTAAGAAATTTATGTCTATTTTGCTATTTTAAGTGTTATTTAATAAATTTTTTATGTTTTTTTTAATATATAATTATATTTTTAAACAACAATTATGTATAATAATTATTTTTATTCAAACTTTTTTTTTTTAATAAAAATAAATATTTCTACTGTACTTATAAAATGATTATAAAACAATTAATAATAGATAATAGTTAATAGATAATATTGAAATAACTATTTCTTTTAATATATGATTTTATTAATATTTCTTTTATGTAATTTAAATTTAATTATTATTATTATTAATAACCAAAAAACAAACAAACAAAAAACATTTACATTATTAATATTTTATTTATAAAAAATAAAAAAATTAAATAAAATTTCTATTTAATATTCACATTATTATTATTATTATTATTTAATCTATTGATCCAATCTTCATGTATGAATCGGGCGGCCATCTCCCCGGCCAACATTGCCGCCGCATTTGTATTTGAATTGATTATCTCCGGATAGACGGACGCATCGCAAACACGTAAACCGCGGATACCTTTGACACGCAATCGTGGATCGACTACAGTATCCCTGCGCCCGGGGTCACCCATACGATAGGTGCCGACTGGATGAACGTGAGTGCCGGCCCATTCCCTGATCAAACAATCAATATAGCTCAGGCACTGGTATACAGGTCCCGATGGACAGTACCTGCACGGAGGTACCGGTTGTCGCGGTAAACTAACGTATCGCCGGAAACTAGTAGTCTCGACAAACCGATAGATATTGGCCACTGCCTGACGTAATCGTTGCCTATCGTACGGTTGGGACAAAAATTTCGGATCAATTACCGGTTGATCCTGAATATGGTTAGTCCTCAATCAAGTGACTGTACCCGTACTCACTGGCCTAACAAGTACTGGCGTCAGTATCATATGATCGCTGGCTATTAGTTCACTAGAGTATCCGTCAAACTGTTGGCTAATTAAGCGATTGGCTGGTGTTGGTGGGAACAGTAGGTTTGTTGGCCGATATTAACGGTGGTAAACCTCTGGGGAATACTATACCTATTGTATAGATATCCGGATAGTTGTCGTAACCGATTGATGGGCTACTACTGGTGCTGCTGTTTGTGATTGTATTCAATGATGACCAATACATTAATGTCAGTGGTGACTGTGCCATTACACCCTGACCCAGGACAGTTGTCTGGTATAGTTGTGTTATATTGTCCATTGTAGCTATTGGTTTATACGGCATATCCGACCGCTGGCGTACAGGAAACTCCAGGCCAATGGATATATGATTGCAATAGTTTAGGCCAACCGCTGGTAGATCGACATATATTTCCCGAATACCCGTTTCAAGTAAATGTCGGACGGGACCGACACCCGACAACATTAGCAACTGTGGACTGGCTATTGTACCTGAAATTAATAATAATAATAATTAAATTTAGTAAATATTATGTTAATAATTAAATAATAAGTTAAAAATTAAATTAAATTAAAAAAATACTTTTAAGTTTTAAAAAGTTTTCAATATATATTTAAGTACTATTTGTATAATTAATACATATTAATAAACACTAAAATCATAAATATAATTAAATAATTAAAACTTTTAATTGCAAATTAATTTTTATCTTTTATCTCTAAAATTAAGTTAATTAAGATTATTGTAATTATAATTATTTATTTTTTTTAGTTTTTATTTAATTAACTATATTTATACTAAACATGTATATATATGATATATTATGTAAATTTAATTTAAAACAATTACATAACTAAAGTTTATTATTATAAATAATAAATAATTAATTAATTAAATATTTTAAACAAAAAAAATGGTTATACCTGCCGATATAATAACCTCCCGTTTAGCTAATACTCTATGTGTACGATTGTTTTTGACAAACTCGACTCCCTGTGCCCGTGGACTACTAGCCTTAGTAGTAGTAGTAGTAGTATTACTATTATTACTTGTAATAAGTATCTTAGATACCTGGGCACCGGTAACAATAGTCAACTGTGGACACAAACCACTTTCCAAGTAAGCATTATTAGTCGATGATCTCAAACCCCGGGCATTAGTCGACTGTGCAATTGTAAATCCAGTCTGATTTGGGCCATTGATATCTAGATAGTCGAGTCCCCATTCCAGGGTAGCCTCGGCTTGTTTGAAATATATAGGATATGGTTCACCCGGTGTGGACACTCGTACCGGTCCGTGTCGACCGTGATATTCATCACTAACCCGGGGGTCGGTATTGTTTTCCATTTGTTTAAATACTGGCAAAACACTCGCATAATCCCAACCAATGGCACCGTATTTCTCGGCAATCATATCATAGTATTTACGATTACCTCTAAAAAAATAATATATATTCAGTAATTATATATATTCAGTAATTATATATATTCAGTAATTATATATAAAAATATACTATATATATAAATAAATATATATATATATTTATATAAACCTAACCTAACCTAACCTAACCTAACCTAACCTAACCTAACCTAACCTAACCTAACCTAACATAACCTAACCTAACCTAACCTAACCTAACCTAACCTAACCTAACCTAACCTAACCTAACCTAACCTAACCTAACCTAACCTAACCTAACCTAACCTAACCTAACCTAACCTAACCTAACCTAACCTAACCTAACCTAACCTAACCTAACCTAACCTAACCTAACCTAACCTAACCTAACCTAACCTAACCTAACCTAACCTAACCTAACCTAACCTAACCTAACCTAACCTAACCTAACCTAACCTAACCTAAAATAATCTAACCTAATCTAACCCAACCTAACCTAACCTAACCTAACCTAACCTAACCTAACCTAACCTAACCTAACCTAACCTAACCTAACCTAACCTAACCTAACCTAACCTAACCTAACCTAACCTAATATATATATATTGAGTACCATTTAATTACTGTAAAGTTATATGAATATTTAATTTTTATACTAAATTTATTAATAAAATATAATATAAATATTTTAACTTTAGTTAATTTTTTTGTAATATTGATACACTAATAGTTTTTTAAGTTTTAATTCTATAAAAACTTAATAATTATATTATTCTATAAATAAATAAATAAATTTTTTTTAATGAAAATACCTATTATATAACATTTCATTAATAGTCGATGAACCGCATAATATTTTCTCAATTTGTTGGCCATTTGGCTGATAGGAATGTCCGGAAAACTGTTGCCTAACCATCTGGTATTGCCATAAATGCTTATCAAAGGCTGTTAGTCCGGGTAGTGGTATATCGTCTATGAGGGCATCGGGTGGTCCGCCAGCTTCCAGTAGCAGTACATCCCAACCCCATTGCGATAGTCGACACGAGACAATAGCACCGGCACTGCCGGCACCGACTACTATATAATCGTATCGGGGTTTCGGTGGTAATGGTGTCCTATAGGCCAGTTGGTTGTGTCTTAACTGCCTGTCCCGGATAATAGTAATCATCATTAGAAATTTTGTTAATAAAGTTAACGTGTACATTTTTTTAAAAAAATGAATTTTTTTACAAAAATTATTTATAATGATATTTATTATTATTATTATTAGTATTTATTTTTTGTCTTGATCACTGTATAATAACTACTGTAAAATAATTTTCATGCAATTTTATATACTTTATATAAATTAAATTTTATTTAATAAATAATATATATATACATACAAAGTATATTTAAATTAATTTTTAAAAAAAAATATATTTTTACTCATAATCATGCAATGAATAGACGCTTAAAAAATACAATAAAAAATTATAAGTATATATACATTGTATTTAATATATATTTGTATATACAATGTTGTATTTAATATTTTTTAATTAAAAAAAATATTTTAAATAATATTTATTTACAAAAAATATATAAACATTTTATATAAAATTTTTATAAATTATAATACTTTTAATTAATTATTTTTTTATTTCTAAAAAATTATAATTTACTATTATTTTACAATAGTTATTTTTATTGTATACTATAACATAGTATTTTATGTTTTAATTATATTTAATAATTTTAGTAATTATTTTTATCTAAACTATTTATCTATAAAATTTATAGTATAAATAATTTTTATATATATAGTTATTATTTAATCAATTATGTATATAATGATAATTTTCATACAAATTTTATTAAGAAAATAAATAATTTTACTTTTTTATAAAAAAAATAATTATATAAAACAACATAACAATTAATAGATATCTATAATTTTGATATAATTTAGTTTATAATATTAATTTAATTAATAGTATTTATAGTTTAAACACTACATTATTTTTATATAACACTAAACTATAGAAATTGTTATAAATTAAATAAATTAATTTTTATTATTTTTTTAGTTTAATTGAAAATTATAATCATTTAAAAATATTAAAATATAATATTTAACATAAAAATCAGTTTTGTTTAAATTATTTAAAAATTTCTATCATATCATGTGTTTTTTAAAATAAAATCATATAAATAAACTTTATTATCAAAAAAAAATTAATGTTAAATAAACATAACTAATAAATAAATGCATTAAACATATGATATAAATGTGTATATATTACTGATTAAATGTTATCAAAATTATTATTTATTATTATCAGTAGTATTAAAACCAAACATAAATATATAAAACTATTGATTTTTTGTATTTTATTAATAGTTTTTATTTTTCAAATAAATTTATTTTAGTAATAACTTTATACTTAAAAATTTTCATTTAGTAAACTACTATTTTATTAAATTTTATTTTAGTTATAAGTGATAAAAATTAATTGTTTTTTAATAATAATAATATTTTAAAAGTTTTTCTCAACAAAACATAAAAAATTGTTTTTATTTTTTTTTGTTGAAAAATGTATCCAAAAATATTAGACAAGTTTTCGCTGATCAACGACTGTATATCGGAACCAATGAAATGTGTTATAAAAATATTTCATATTTTCGGCGATAATCTATTGTTTGTCGCCGACAACGACAACGTCTACGGTATTGGACCACTGGTTACCCGAACCGATAGACATCAACAACAACAAACCGAACCCGAAATAATACCCGAACTTAGCGGTGAACGGGTTCAGCAATTTTTCATTGGCTACGACTTTATACTATGTTTAACCCAAGATAATCGGGTCTACAGTTTTGGCTATAATCGTAGCGCACAACTAGGATTGGGCTACAAATCCAACCATTATATACGTCCGCGGGTCATACAAAAATTACGTCCATTTCGAATTGTACATGTATCGTGCGGCTACGATCATTGTCTAGCCCTGAGTGATCAAGGTACTGTTTATGCATGGGGCGGAAATCATCATGCTCAAGTGGTGATGACATCATTTATGGACGACACTAGTACTACTACTAATATTAGTAATTGTGTAGTACAGCCAATCAAAATCATATTTAACACCAATAATAATATGGACGTAATTTTTGTTAAATATATTTGCTGTCATCCATATATATCGTTTGCATTGACCGCTGATGGACGGGTATACTATTGGGGTAATCGGGTACAATTTTTAGGGTTCGATCTAACCCGGCAAGCTGGCAACCCTACTGAAATATTATTAGCACCTGGTGGCAAACCAATTGTAGCCATGTACAATTATAGTTATTTTGGATCATATTTTCTAATGGACAATGGTGAAATTTATCAATGTCAATTTAATTTTGATGATAAACCAGTGCTATTAAATGGTTGTCATAGTGATTTGACACAAATAATGTCTACAAACAAAAAAATTAACGTATCACTATTTAGTGAGGGTGTATTTTTAGACAATAATGGTTATTTGAACAAGCTACTTAATAATGATGATGGTTATAATTATAATAATCATCATGATAAAAAATTAACAGATTATAAAAATATTTTTCAACTATATTTAAGGGAATATAGGGAAACATTTCATACTATACATATTGGTGTCGGATCTGATGATGCTGATGATGCTGATGATGCTGATGATGCTGATGGTGATGGACAACCCTACTCAATTGAAACCTATTATGATAATAATAATAATAAAATTCAAATTAGATATTTTAATCAATTAAGCGGCGATTATTGTGATTGTATGAAATATTTTTAATTATAAAAATAATTATAATTTATTGTTGTATAGATAGAGATACAGTAGATGTTAAATATGTTTAAAAAAAATTTGTGTATAATAAATAAAAATTTAGTTTGTAATAATAATAATAATATACTAGAATATTAAATATTTTTAATTAATTAAAAACACAAAAATTGTACAAAAATAATTTAATAATAATACCAATAATTAATAAATAATATATTGTATATAAAATCTATATATACAGTATATATATAATAAAATATAGTAATTAATAAATTAGTCTATTTTTGTGTTGAATAGAAAACTATAGTAGTCTATAGTTTTAATTAAATTGCACAACAACAAAAAAACATTATTAATTAATTATTTAGTTTATTATTTAGTTTATTATTTAGTTTATTATTTAGTTAATATATATATAGTGTATATATACATATAGAGTATATATATATATATATATTGTAATAATAATAGTTTAGTTAAATATTATTATCTATTATTAATTAATTATCTTCATGTATGAATCGGGCCGCCATCTCCCCGGCCAACATTGCCGCTGCCGCAGTATTTGAATTCATTATCTCCGGATAGACGGATAGGTCGACAACACGCAGTCCGCTGATACCTTTGACACGCAATCTGGGGTCGACTACAGTATCCCTACGCTGGGGGTCACCCATACGACACGTGCCTACTGGATGATAGATACTGGCCGACCAGTTATCAATCAGACAATCCAAATAACTCCGACACTGATAGATAGGTCTATCTCCAGGACAGTACCTACACGGAGGTATCGGCAGTGTAGGTATACTAACGTATCGCCCGAAACTAGTAGTCTCAACAAATCGGTATACATTGGCCACTGCCCGACGAAACCTGCGGCGATCACTCGCTGCGGACATAAACCGGGGATCAATTACCGGTTGATCCTGAATCTGGTTAGTACTCAATCTAACTGTACCCCCACTCCAGCTAACTGGTCGGACTAGTGTCGGAAAAAACATCATATAATCGGTAGACATTAGCGACTGGGAGTATTGGTCCAGTTGTTGGTTATAAATAGGATTATCTACCCGTTTGTTGGCAACAATCGGTGACGGACTACCCTGGGGTACACCAATACCTTCGACATAGACATCCGGATAGTTGTTTTTTGGATCCGCCGATAGTAGTTGTGGACTATTGATGGTAGTGTTTGATGACGACCAATACATTATGCTTATCGGTGACTGTGCCATTGGACCACGACCCTGGACACTGGACTGGTATAGTTGACTAATGTTGCCTACAGTCGATACTGGCCTAACCATCATACCGGGACCTCCTATAGGAAACTCTAGTCGTATGGTTAAGTGATTGTTATAGTTTAGGCCAACCCCGGGTAGATCGGCATATATTTCCCGAATACCCGTGTCCTGTAAATGTCGGGCCGGGCCCACACCCGACAACATTAGCAACTGTGGACTGGCTATTGTACCTTGAAAATAATAATAATAATTATTATTAATTATATTTATTATTAAATTAATTTATTATTAATTATATTTATTATTAATTATATTTATTATTAATTATATTTATTATTAATTATATTTATTATTAATTATATTTATTATTAATTATTAATTAATTATATATAAATTAATATTAAATTTATAATAAATTATGAATAATAAACACAATATTAATATTATGTTTTTTTAAAAAACTAAATAATTAATAAAACTAATTAATCAAGCAAGTTTATTTAGCATTTAATTAATAATAAGATTAAAAAATTAATTTTAATTTAATATTAATTATAATACCTGCCGATACAATCACCTCCCTATTGGCCATTACTGTATGTAGTGTACGATTATTTTTGATAAACCTAACTCCCTGTGCCCGAGGTAGTAGTCCACTGTTGTTGTTGGTGTGTTCACGTGTAATTAATATTTTGGATACCTGAGCTCCGATAACAATAGTCAACTGGGGACACAAACCACTTTCCAAGTAAGCATTCAAAGTCGATGATCTTAAACCCCGGGCAATAGTCGACTGTGCAATTGTAAACCCAGTCTGATTTGGGCCATTAATATCCGTATAGTCGAGTCCCCATTCCAGGGCAGCCTCGGCTTGTTTTGCATATATAGGAAACGGTTCACCCGGTGTGGACACACCTACCGGTCCCTGACGTCCGTGATACTGGTCGCTAACTCGGGGGTCGGTATTGTTTTCCATTTGTTTAAATACTGGCAAAACACTCGCGTAATCCCAACCAATGGCACCGTATTTTGAGGCAATCATATCATAGTATTTGCGATTACCTCTAAAATACATGTATAGAAAAACAATAAAAACAAAAAAAAAATAAATTGCAATAATTATAATTAAAATAATATTTAAAAAAATTAAAACTATAGACAAAATAATTTTTTTTATTTATTATATTATTCACAGAATATATATATATATCGTATATATATTATCAGAAATAAAACTTTAAAAAGCAATTATTTATTTATTTAATAATTTGTTTAATTAACTATTAATTTATTTAATTAACTATTAATTTATTTAATTAACTATTAATTAATTTAATTAACTATTAATTTATTCAATTAACTATTAATTTATTTAATTAATTATTTATTTATTTAATTAATTAGTTTTTCAAAATACCTATTATATATCATACCGTTGACAGTTGAAGTACCGCCTAATATACGACCGCTTAGTTCCGATTGTTGGCCATTATCTGGATAGGAATGACCGGAAAATTTCTGCCGTACTGTCCGATAGTTCCATAGATTTCTATCACTGGTTTGCAATCCCGGAGCCGGTATATCGTCTACGAGGGCATCGGGTTGGCCGCCAGCTTCCAGTAGCAGTACATCCGAACCCCATTCGGATAGTCGACAGGCGACTATAGCACCGGCACTGCCGGCACCGACTACTATATAATCGTATGCGAGTTTCGGTGGCAATGGTGTCCGATTGGCCAGTTGGTTGTGCCGGAGTTGCCGGTCACGTATAATAGTGGACAGTATGAATAATTTTGTTAATAAAGTTAACGTGTACATTTTTTAAAATTTATTTTTTTTTATAAAAATAAAATATTAAAATATTACAAAAATAATAATGCAATAATAATAATAATAATAATAATAATAATTAATTGCATATAAAGTCATTGACAGAAGGGTGGTAACTGGTTTTTGGATACTATCTCTATAACCAATTGAGCTAGAACAATATAAATATTTTAGGAAACATGGAATCATGGAACGGATAGCATAATATAGTTATATTATTTCTCATTGCGCTTATGTAGCTTAGCACCGGTATGTGCATTATCTCAAAAACTACAAGAGATAGCACAATAAAACCAAAAGTATAATATACTAGGTAAAATTTCATTAGACACGTGTTTCAGGATTTTTCTAAAAATTATATCGTTTTTTAACAAAAAATTAAAAAATGGGAAAATTATAAAACTTTGATATGGAATATTAAAAAAGTGTCAAGGTATTTTGTAAAATTTTTAATAAAATTAAATTTTATTTTTAATGCAGAACAATTCGTATATTAAGTATTTTTAATTAATTTCAATAAATAATAGTTTATTTAATAATCATTATTTTTCTATTATATAACATGTTTTATATTTTAATTACATAATTTACTATATTAATACATTAAATACATAATATATTAAATAAACTATTATTTAATTAAATTAATTAAAAACACTTAATATACGAATTATTCTGCATTAAAAATAAAATTTAATTTTATTAAAAATTTTATAAAATACCTTGACACTTTTTTAATATTCCATATCAAAGTTTTATAATTTTCCCATTTTTTAATTTTTTGTTAAAAAACGATATAATTTTTAGAAAAATCCTGAAACACGTGTCTAATGAAATTTTACCTAGTATATTATACTTTTGGTTTTATTGTGCTATCTCTTGTAGTTTTTGAGATAATGCACATACCGGTGCTAAGCTACATAAGCGCAATGAGAAATAATATAACTATATTATGCTATCCGTTCCATGATTCCATGTTTCCTAAAAAATTTATATTGTTCTAGCTCAATTGGTTATAGAGATAGTATCCAAAAACCAGTTACCACCCTTCTGTCAATGACTTTATGTTAATATAAAAAAATTATAACAAGTTATGAACTAAAATAACTAATTATTTTTTAGGTATTTTTATATCACTATTAAAAACATTGAACTAATTATTATTATTATTATTATTATTATTAGTTAACTATTGTCTAAAAACATTATTAGCAATAAATTAATAAATAAATAAAAGTATAATAATAATAATAATTGTAAAGTATTAACCTGTATAATGACAATAAGGTATTTTTTTTTAGTATAAAGCTCAGGTAGGTATTTTTATTAGCTACATGTGTTGAACTTATATAATATATATACCGGTATATATATATTTAATACCAATTTATTTATAATATTAACAAATAATATTATAATAGTAAGTGAAAAAATAATAAACAAAATTTTCCCCCATAAACTTGATTATACATAAAATAATTTATAATGTTTTTTTTTATTTAATTAAATTATATTTTTATTAAAAAAATAAATAAATATCTACTAATAGTACATATTACACTAGTAGTAAAAAAATAAATAAACATAAGTCAACAATTTAATAAAATATTTTGTATATAAAAATAAATAAATATAATAATAATAAATTAAAAAAGTATTTTTTGTTATCATTTTAAATAAAATAATTTTTTTTTTAAATTATATACAATATATATAACAATAATATTTAATTAAAAAAAACAATTTTAACACATAATTCAATAAATAAAAAATCAATATATATAGTAATAAACAATAATAAATAATAAATAATAATTAATTAATTAATTTTTTTTAAAAAATATTAAATTATCTATTGCTTATTATCTTCATGTATGAATCGGGCGCCCATCTCCCCGGCCAACATTGCCGCGGCATTTGGATTGGCATTAATCATCTCGGGATAGACGGATAGGTCGACAACACGTAGTCCGCGGACACCTTTGACACGCAATCTGGGGTCGACTACTGTATCCCTATGGCGGGGATCACCCATTGGACAGCCGCCTACGGGATGATATTGACTGCCGGCCCAGTTATCAATCAGACAATCCAAATAACTTGGGCACTGGTAGACAGGACTACCATCAGGACAGTACCTACACGGAGGTACAGGTACTGTAGGTATACTCAAGTATCGCCGGAAACTAGTAGTCTCAACAAATCGGTATACATTGGCCACTGCCTGACGAAACCTGCGGCGATCACCCGCAGCGGACATAAATCGGGGATCAATAACTGGTTGATCCTGGATCTGGTCGGTCCTCAATCTAATTGTACCGGTACTTAGCGGACGGGCCAGTGTTGGCAATAGTGATACATAATCGCTGGCCAGGAGTTCACCAGAGTATTGATCAATCAATTGGTTTAGCCTCGGGTTAGCTCTAGGGGTTGGTTTGTTTCGTGCAATTTGTGGAGGTGTACCAAGGGGTGCAACAAAACCCAACACATAGATATCGGGATAGCCGTCATCATCATCATCACTAGCGAGACTACTGGTGCTGATACCACTGGTATTGTTAGTTGTCGACGTCGACCAATACATCAAACTGTGCGGATCCTGTGCCATTGGACCCCTACCCTCTACAGTGACCTCGTATAGTTGGGTTAGATTTTTCAATGTAGCTACCGGTTCGGCCATACCTGACCATTGATGTCTAATGGGAAAGTCTATGGGTACGGTTAGATGATTGTATGTATTGAGTCCAACACCGGGTAGATCGGCATAGATTTTCGGGATACCAATGTCCTGTAAGTGTCCGACGGGTCCCAAACCCGACAACATTAGCAACTGTGGACTGGCTATTGAACCTAAAAAATAATTTTTAAAAATAAAAAATTTAATTAAATCAATATATATATCAATTGTATACACTGTATATAAATATACAATAATATAATATATATGTATATATTTTTAGAGTAAATAAAATATTAAATAAAAATAATATAATTATTTTTTTTGTTTAATTAAAATACTTATTGTATAAAAAAAATTCTAATAAATTAATTAATTTTATAAAAAATTGTTTAGTAATACCTGTATATTGAAAATATATTTTTTTAAAATAATAATAATTATTATTATAATTAATTTTATTTTACAACAAACAAACAAACAATGTATTACCTGCCGATAAAATAACCTCCCGACTGGCCATTACAATGTAGGTCCGATTATTTTTAATAAACTCGACTCCCTGTGCCCGAGGTGTATTACCATTATTATTATTATTGTCCGATTTGATTATTACTTTGGATACCTGGGCACCGGTAACAATAGTCAACTGGGGACATAAACCACTTTCCAAATAGGCACTGGTAGTCGATGATCTCAAACCCCGGGCATTAGTCGACTGTACAATTGTAAACCCAGTTTGATTTGGGCCATTGATATCCGTATACCCGAGTCCCCATTCACGGGCAGCCTCGGCTTGTTTCAAATATATAGGAAACGGTTCATCCGGTGTGGACACACCTACCGGTCCCTGACGGCCGTGATATTCATCCATAACCCGGGGGTCGGTATTGTTTTCCATTAGTTTAAATACTGGCAAAACACTTGCGTAATCCCAACCAATGGCACCGTATTTTGTGGCTATAGTGTCATAAAATTTACGATTACCTCTGGAAACATACATGAAATAAAAACAATAAATTTTTAATTACAATTAAAATATATAATAATAACAAATAATTTACATTAATTAAAAAATATATTATATATTAATATAATAAGAAACCAAACAAACATAAATGAAAAAGTTAAATAAAATGTTTACTAAATTAAAACTTTATTACAGTATATTTAGATTTATAATTAGATTTATATTTAAAATAATAATTGAATTTACAATTAGATTTATTATTAGATTTATTATTAGATTTATATTTAAATTTATATTTAAATTTATAATTAGATTTATAATAAAATTCTTATTTAAATTTATATTTAAATTTATACTTAGATTTATAATTAAATTAATATTTAAATTAATAATTAGATTTAAAATCAGATTTATATTTAAATTTATAATTAAATTTATATTTAAATTTATATTTAGATTTATAATCAGTTTTATAGTTAGATTTATATTTAGATATATAATTAAATTTATATTTAGATATATAATTAAATTTATATTTATATTTAAATTTATAATAATATTTATATTTAAATTTATAATAATATTTATATTTAAATTTATAATAATATTTATATTTAAATTTATAATAATATTTATATTTAAATTTATAATAATATTTATATTTAAATTTATAATAATATTTATATTTAAATTTATAATAATATTTATATTTAAATTTATAATAATATTTATATTTAAATTTATAATAATATTTATATTTAAATTTATAATAATATTTATATTTAAATTTATAATAATATTTATATTTAAATTTATAATAATATTTATATTTAAATTTATAATAATATTTATATTTAAATTTATAATAATATTTATATTTAAATTTATAATTAAATTTATAATAATACCTATTATAAAACATTCCGTTAATAGTTGATGAACCGCCTAATACGCGACCCCTGATCTCAATTTGTTGGCCATTATTCAGATAGGAATGGCCAGAAAAATTTTGCCGTACCAACTGATAGTGCCATAGATTACTATCACTGGTTTGCAATCCCGGAGCCGGTATATCGTCTACCAGAGCATCGGGTGGTCCGCCAGCTTCCAGTAGCAGTACATCCCAACCCCATTGGCTTAGACGACACGAGACAATAGCACCGGCACTGCCGGCACCGACTACTATATAATCGTATCGGGGTTTCGGTGGTAATGATGTCCGATAGGCCAGTTGGTTGTGCCTCAACTGCCTGTCCCGGATAATAGTCGATACCATTAATAATTTTGTTAATAAAGTTAACGTGTACATTTTTTTGTTTTAATAAAATAAAATTTAAAAAAAAAACTTTAACTAACTAAAATATTGAAAGCTTAATACTGTAGTTGAAATAAATGGTGTATTTATATATATTTATATATACTGTATATACTGTGTAATATATATATATATATATATATATATATATATATATATATATATAGTTTGTTTGCCTATAACAATGTTAATAACTTTTAATTAGTTAATTAATTAATAAGCAAAATAAAACATAACAATTATTAGTACATTAGGTTGTACATTAAACTATTAATACTAACTTATAATACTTAAATTGTTATTTTTAAAAATAGTATAAATAAACTCATAAATAAATTATATATATATATATATATATACTGTATATATGTTTGTTCAATAAACTAATTTAAGTTATTATTTGAAACCTATTGAACTTTGAATGTTATTGTAGTTATAATAGTTATAGTTATAGTAGAAATTTCCTTGAGATAGAGAGAGGGGGGGGGAAGTTTCCCATAAATAATATTTCCAATAAATTTATCAGAGTAAAATTTAAATTGAATTAATAAAAAAATAAATAAATCTATATTAATACTGTATATATATACTTAATTAATAATGTAATTTAAAAATTAAATTTAATTATTATTATTAATAACCATAAACTAACAAAAAAAATTTATAACATTTATAAATAAATAATAAAATTTCTATTTATTATTCATATTATTATTCCTATTAATATTATATTTATAGAAATTAAAAAATTAAATCTATTAAATATTATTATAATTTATATTATTATAATTTATATTATTATTGATTATTGATTATCTTCATGTATGAATCGGGCGCCCATCTCCCCGGCCAACATTGCCCCGGCATTTGTATTGGCATTGATTATCTCCGGATAGACGGACGCATCGCAAACACGCAAACCTCGGATACCTTTGACACGCAATCGCGGGTCGACTACAGTATCCCTGCGCCCGGGGTCACCCATACGACATGTACCTACTGGATGAACATGAGTACCGGCCCATTCCCTGATCAAACAATCAATATAACTTAAGCACTGGTAGACAGGACCAGTGGGACAGTACTGACAATTTTTTAGCGGCTGACTCGGTATACTAACATATTGACTGAAACTAGTAGTTTCAACAAAACGAAATGTCCGTATAATTGCCTCCCGGATCCTCAAGCGATCAATTTTAGCCGATAAAAATTGGGGATCAATAACTGGTTGATCCTCTATACGGCTACTATTTAATCTAACTATACCGCAACTAACTGGCCTAACTAGTGCAACATAAAAGGTTATAAAATCATTGTCAGATAGACTACTACTACTAATACCAGGGCTGGCCAACATTGCCCGGGCCTGTCTATTACTAGTCAAACTAATTACATAGATATCTGGATAGTCATCGGTGTCGACACCACCATCACCACCACTGGTTGATGACCAATACATTAATGAATATTGTTGTCGGGCTAGTGGACCCCGACCGAGGACAGTCGTGTCGTACAGTTGTGTTAGGTTAGACCATGTTGGCCATGGTCCGACCATTCCTGGTTGACGTATCGGGAAATCTAGCGATACGGCCAAATGATTGCAATAGTTTTGGCCAACACCGGGCAGATCGGCATACACTTCCCGAATACCTAGTCCAGTGTCCTGTAGATGACCGGCTGGGCCGATACCCGATAGCATAAGCAACTGTGGACTGACTATAGTACCTACAAAAAAAATAATAATAAATTATTTGTTATTAATTTTATGATTATTATTATTATTATTGTTCAAAAAAAATATATTTTTTCCTATTATTATTATTTTCGTTTTTAATGGGATTTTATATTTTTAAAAAAAAAATAATTATATTACATGCCGACACTGTCCACCACCCCCTCCCCTTTCTAAAAAATACACACACATTAATATGAATATTATACGATACGGTATATACAGTATATAAATATACAGTATATATATATAATATATACTGACTATTATGTATATATATATATATATATATATACATAATAGTCAGTAGGATTATATAGTATATACCGTATATATATAAACTAGGATTACCTGCCGATACTATGACCTCACGTTTAGTCCATACACTATAAGTACGATTTGATTTAATAAACTCAACTCCCTGTGCCCGAGGAGGTTGGTTATCGGTTGGATTACGTTTGATTAGCACTTTAGATACCTGAGCTCCGGTAACTATAGTCAATTGGGGACACAAACCACTTAGCAAATAGGCATTCAATGTCGATGACCGTAGACCCCCGTCACTGCTGGTCGACTGACTAAATGAAAACCCAGTTTGATTCGGGCCATTAACGTCCGTTAAGTCGAGTCCCCATTCACGGGCAGCCTGAGCTTGTTTCAAATATATAGGTAACGGTTCACTGGGTGTGGACACTCGTACCGGTCCCTGACGGCCGTGATATTCATCCATAACCCGGGGGTCGGTATTGTTTTCCATTAGTTTAAATACTGGCAAAACACTCGCATAATCCCAACCAATGGCACCGTATTTTGAGGCAATCATATCATAGTATTTACGATTACCTCTAATGATAAACAAAATATATATATAAATTAAATAATAACTATTAAATACCTATTATAGGCCATATAGTTGACAGTCGAGGAACCACCTAAAACACGGCCCTTAGGTTCAAAGTGACGGCCAATGATTTCCAATGAACGACTAGTATATTTCTGGACTGACTGTCTATATGACCAATAGTTTTGTTTATGTAAGCTCTGGTAGGGTAGGCCCAGGGCTGGTATATCCTCTAACAGGGCATCGGATGGTCCGCCAGCTTCCAGTAGCAGTACATCCCAACCCCATTGGGATAGTCGACACGAGACAATAGCACCGGCACTGCCTGAGCCGACTACTATATAATCGTATCGGGGTTTCGGTGGTAATGGTGTCCGATAGGCCAGTTGGTTGTGCCGGTGCTGACGCTGACTGATAATATTGTATAGTAGATATATTTGAGCCAGTATAGTTAGCGTATACATTGCTAATAATTTTATTATTATTATTATTATTAAGTAGTAGTAGTAGTAGTAGAAGTAGTAGTAGTAGTAGTAGTAGTAGTAGTAGTAGTAGTAGTAGTAGTAGTAGTAGTAATAGTAGTTATTATTAGTAGCTATTTAATGGGTTCAATAACATTGCCAGTTGATTGTGCCTTAGCTGCCGTTCCCTAATAATAGTTAATTAATACAATATATTTTATATATTTGAGCAAGTATAGTTAATAAATTACATTGTTAATAATTTGTTTAATATTATTATTATAATAATAATTATTATTATTTTATATTAGTAAATTACTAATTAAGTAAGCAAAATCATTATTATAATTAATATTATTATTATCAAAAATAATAACACAATTTTAAATACTAGTAAAACCAACAAAAAAAAATAATAAAATAAAATTATTAAATAATAAAAATAATCCTTATAAAACTTAGCAATTTAAAAAACACTGTATATTATATTAAATAAATATATTTTTTTTAATTAATTTTATGTTGTATTTAATAAAATTAATACACAATTAAATAATAACAATATAAAATTAATAAATAAATAAATATATATATATATATATTAATTTTAATAATTAATTTATAATATTGACAATAATTACAGTAAAAAATATACAGTATTAAATAACTACCAATTTATAATTAGTAAAAAAACAAATTAACTTTTTTTTAAAAAATAAATTTTGAAAATAAACTAGAAACTAAATTAATATTATATTTAGAAAAATTTAGCTTACAATTTTTTTTAATTAATAATATAATATATGTCAAATGTTATAATTAATAAAAACATGTGGTTTTTAATATATATATATATATATATATATATATATATTAATATATACTAAAATATAGTATATATATAATAATAATAATTTTATTTGTGTTATATTATTATTATTACTGTATATACAGTATATACTGTACTATTAAATATATACTAAAACTAAACATTTATTAATTACTAATATTATATACTGTATATAAAATAATACTAGTAATAATAATAATAATAATAATATTAATTAATTAATTAATTAATTAATTAATCTATTGATTATCTTCATGTATGAATCGGGCGGCCATCTCCCCGGCCAACATTGCCGCCGCATTTGTATTGGCATTGACTATCTCGGGATAGACGGACGCATCGCAAACACGCAAACCTCGGATACCTTTGACACGCAATCGCGGGTCGACTACAGTATCCCTGCGCCCGGGGTCACCCATACGACAGGTACCCATTGGATGAGCATGAGTACCGGCCCATTCACGGATCAAACAATCAATATAACTCCAGCACTGGTAGACAGGACCAGTGGTACAGTACTGGCAATTTTGTTTCGGTTTAGTCGGTATACTAACATATTTCTGGAAACTAGTAGTTTCGACAAAACGAAACGCCCGGACAATTGCCTGCCGGAGCCTCAGGCGATCCGATTCAGCCACTAATGATTTTGGATCGACAATAGGTTGATCCCATATACGACTTGTGTTTTGTCTAACTGTACCCTCCGAGCTAACTGGTCGTACTAGTGCAACGTATAGGTTTATTATATTTTTGCCCTCATCATCATCATCATCGGCAGACAGACCACTATATGGGCTAACCGTACCGACAACATAGATATCTGGATAATCGGTTTGAACTGATGGTGATGCAGGTGGTGCTGGTGATGCTGGTGGTGGGGTATGGGTTGACGACCAATACATTATGGCATATTGTCGTCTGGCTAGTGGACCCCTACCCTGGACAGTTGCCTGATACAATTGTTGAAGGTTAGACACTGATGGCCAGGTAGCAATCAAATCATTGCTAGTAGTTGATGATGATGATGATGATGATGATGATGATGGACGTATCGGGAAATCTAGAAACACGGCCACATGATTCAAATAGTTTTGGCCAACACCGGGCAGATCGACATACACTTCCCCGATACTGCCGCCAGTGTCCTGGAGATGCCGGGCCGGTCCTATACCCGATAGCATAAGCAACTGTGGACTGGCTATTGTACCTGATATACAGTATATACAGTATATATATATAAAATTGGTAAAATTTAAGTATAATTTTTCAAATACAATATTATTATTACAATTTATTATTATTATTTTTTATTTTGGTATTATTGTTATGGAAAACTTATGGGAACTTTATGGAATTTACATGAGAATATTCGGGAATTTTCTCTTGAAAATTTTGTAAATTTCATCTCAGTCTACCACCCCTTCCCCTTAAAATCCAATACCTTGCTTATCCCTGATATATATATATATACTGTATCTATATATAAGTAATTGTATGAACAGTATATTGAATTACCTGCCGATACTATGACTTCACGTTTAGCCCATACCTGATAAATACGATTATACTTAATAAATTCGACTCCCAGTGCACGGGGAGGTTGTTGGTTATTAATTGGATTACTACGTTTGATTATAATTAATGGGATTTTATATTTAAAAAATTTATATTACATGACGACCCCGCCTCCCGTCCCCAATAAATACACACATATTTAGTATATATACACACATATTTAGTATATATACACACATATTTAGTATATATACACACATATACACACATATACACACATATACACACATATACACACACACACACACACACACACACACACACATTTATATGCATATTATACGGTACGGTATATACAGTATATATATTTATACATAATATTTAGTAGGATTACCTGCCGATACTATGACCTCACGTTTAGCCCATACATGATAAGTACGATTAGACTTAATAAACTTGACTCCCAGTGCACGGGGAGGTTGTTGGTTATCAATTGGATTACTACGTTTGATTATAATTTTAGATACCAGTGCTCCGGTAACTATAGTCAATCGGGGACACAAACCACTTTCCAAATAGGCATTCATAGTCGATGATCGTAGACCATGGCTACTGGTCGACTGCATAATTGTAAACCCTGTTTGATTTGCGCCATTGATATCCGTATAGTCCAGTCCCCATTCACGGGCAGCCTCAGCTAGTTTTTCATATATAGGTAATACCTGATCAAATGTAGACACTCGTACCGGTCCCTGTCGGCCGTGATACTGATCGCTAACCCGGGGGTCGGTATTGTTTTCCATTAGTTTAAATACTGGCAAAACACTCGCGTAATCCCAACCAATGGCACCGTATTTTGAGGCAATCATATCATAGTATTTACGATTACCTCTATAGTGAAACAAATTTAACAAAAAAAAATTTTTTTTAACAAAATTAAAATCAATTAATACATTAATGTTTTCAGACCAAAAAAAAAAATAGATAATTATTCATAATTTTTAATATCAATCAAACAACAACTTAAAAACAATATATTATATTTAGATTTAGATTTAAAAAATAAATAAATAAATTAATTGATTATATGATTTTAATACCTATTATATGACATTGAATTAATAGATGACGTACCGCCTAATAGACGACCCGTAACCTCAATTTGTTGGGCCATTATTCGGATAGGAATGTCCGATAAATTTCTGTCTAACCAAACGATAGTGCCATTGAATCTTGTGTAGCTGGTATCGGATCCGGTAGCGTCGGTAGATCGTCTAATAGGCTATCGGGTGGTCGGCTACCGGCTTCCAGTAGCAGTACATCCCAATCCCATTCGGATAGACGACACGAGACAATAGCACCGGCACTGCCTGAGCCGACTACTATATAATCGTATTTTAAAAATTGAAAATATTACAATAAAATATTTGCTCAAAAAAGTACCAAAATATTTACTTATTTTTAATAATCATTTATTAGTAAGAAATATGTAAAATTAATCAATTTATATTATTTATAATTATTATTATTATAAATATATAAATATAATTATTATTATAAATTACTTAATTAATTAATTAATTAACTATTATCTTCATGTATGAATCGGGCGGCCATCTCCCCGGCCAACATTGCCGCCACATTTGTATTGGCATTGATTATCTCCGGATAGACGGACGCATCGCTAACACGTAAGCCTCGGATACCTTTGACACGCAATCGCGGGTCGACTACAGTATCTCTGCGCCCGGGGTCACCCATACGACAGGTACCTATTGGATGAGCATCGACACTGGCCCATTCCCTGATCAAACAATCAATATAACTCCAGCACTGGTATACAGGACCAGTAGGACAGTACTGACAATTTTCTTTCGGTTCGGACGGTATACTAATATATTTCGATAGGCTAGTAGTTTCGGCAAAACGAAATGCCCGGCTAATTGCCTCACGAAATCTTTGGCGATCAAATTTATCTGATAATGATTTGGCATCAATCAGGGGTTGATCCTCAATACGACTACTGTTTAGTCTAACTGTACCGTAGCTAACTGGCCTAACGAGTGCAACGTACAGTGTTAGATGTTGTTGATCATTATTAGTTGGACTATTAATATTACTGGGGCTGATCGTACCAATCATATAGATATCTGGATAATCTCTATCTACCATACCACCCTGGGATGACCAATACATTAGGGCATTTTGTCGCTGGGCTAATGGACCCGTACCCAGTGCGGTTGCCTGATACAATTGTGTTAGGTTAGTCAATGTTGGCCAGGGACCAATCAAATCATCATCAATTGATGATGGACGTATTGGAAAATCTAGAAACATGGCCACATGATTGCAATAGTTTTGGCCAACACCTGGCAGATCGACATACACTTCCCCGATACTGCCGCCGCCAATGTCCTGTAGATGACCGGCCGGTCCTATACCCGACAGCATAAGCAACTGTGGACTGCCTATTGTGCCTATTATTTAAATTAAAATATTAATAATATATATACTGTATATATATATATATATATTTAAAAAAATTAACAAAAATTATAATACATATATTAGTAATACAGGGTTTTAAAAAATGGCAGACAGGCAGGCATAAACAATAGATGCCAATTTTTTGGCGAAATGCCTGGCCATCTATTTTCAGATGTTAGCGATACCTAATACTTTAATTTTAAATTATTTATAAAAAACAATTGTATCATTATATTTGTTTTTAATTTTTGTTTTTGTAATTTAAAGGGTAATATCACTGCAAAATATTAATTGTAAAATTAATTACCATGCTAACACTAAAATACATAATTTTTATTAATACAGTTGCTTTTTAAGCAATTGAAATTGGCAAGCAAATAAAATAGATGCCCAAAATGTTAGTGCATTTATGGAATATATTTGGGCATTGCCAGGGCAGGCATCTATTTATTAAAAACCCTGATTAGTATATACATAATAATAGTATAAATTATAAAAATTATATACAATAGGATTACCTCCAGATACAATGACTTCACGTTTGATCCATACATGATAAGTACGATTATACTTAATAAACTCGACTCCCTGTGCCCGGGGTGGTTGGTTGTTATCATCATTTGGATTCATACGTTTGATTATCACTTTAGATACCTGAGCTCCGGTAACTATAGTCAATTTAGGACATAGACCACCTTCCAAATAGACATTATTGGTCGATAATCGTAGACCATGTCTAATGGTCGACTGGTAAATTGTAAACCCTGTTTGATTCGGGCCATTGATATCCGTATAGTATAGACCCCATTCACGGGCAGCCTGGGCTTGTTTTTCAAATATAGGTAATACCGGATACAATGTAGAGACAACTATCGGTCCCTGTCGGCCGTGATATTCATCCATAACCCGGGGGTCGGTATTGTTTTCCATTTGCTTGAATACTGGCAAAACACTCGCATAATCCCAACCAATGGCACCGTATTTTGAGGCAATCATATCATAGTATTTACGATTACCTCTAATGAAACAAATTTATTTCAACAACAAAAAATTAATAAATAAATAAAAATTATAAATATATTTTTTTTGACTATAAAAAATAAAAATAATATTAAAATTTAATACAGAAAAAAGTTTTCAACAAACAAATTATAACTATTATAACTAAAATAATTATTATTAGCATTAATTTTATTAAATTTATATATATATATATATATATATATATATATATATATATATATATATATACCTGTATATATATTATAATATCAATCAAACAATCACAACAACAATAACTAATAAAACGTTTTTAAAAAATATCCTAATTTTTTACTATATATTATATCTAGACTAACGTTTTATTCTATAGGATTTAGATTATTTTTTAATTTATATAAAACCAGTTGAGAATGCTAGACAGACAGACAGACAGACAGACAGACAGACAGACAGACAGACAGACAGACAGACAGACAGACAGACAGACAGACAGACAGACAGACAGACAGACAGACAGACAGACAGACAGACAGACAGACAGACAGACAGACAGACAGACAGACAGACAGACAGACAGACAGACAGACAGACAGACAGACAGACAGACAGACAGACAGACAGACAGACAGACAGACAGACAGACAGACAGACAGACAGACAGACAGACAGACAGACAGACAGACAGACAGACAGACAGACAGACAGACTTTTAGAATGCATATACGTACTCCTTTCAGGAGTTTGTGAAAACAAAAACAAATTTTTTTTTAATTATAATACCTATTATATGACATTGAATTAACTGTTGAGGAACCGCCTAATCCACGACCCATTATATCGTATTGTATGCCATTATTGGGAAATGAATGTCCGATATATTTTTGAGGTTCAAACTGATAATGCCATTTGCTAACATCGCTAATGGTCATTGATCCAGGTAGATCATCTAATATGGCATCGGGTGGTCCACCGGCTTCCAATAGTAGTACATCCCAACCCCATTGTGATAGACGACACGAGACAATAGCACCGGCACTGCCGCCGCCGACTACTATGTAATCGTATCGGGGCTTCGGTGGTAATGGTGTCCGATAGGCCAGATGGTTGTGCCGGTGCTGACGCTGACTTATTATAGTGTATACCATATATAATTGAGCCAGTATAGTTATTGAATACATTTTTTATTTTAATTTAATTTTAAAATTATTTTAATAATAATTTTATTATAGTTTTTATTTAATACTATATTATTAAATAATTGTAAATAAATATTGATATATACAATATAAATATTTTTATCTTATATAAAATATAATACAAATGAAAACTAAAATTTTTATTTTAAAATCTTTTAAACAATTATATATATATATATATTAATGATAGGTATGAAAAGTCACTGTCAAACGTAATAAAACTAGTAATAAATTGAATACAAACTGTTTTTTTTTGGTGTGTTGTAATAAAATTAGTTTATATATATGAAAAACACAAATATAATATTATTAAAATTTTTAATATTAAATTTTATTTATTATTTTTTTTTAAATAAAGATTACTTACTAATATAATAATTATACTAAAATTTATGATATAAAAAAACTTATTATCATTATCATTACTAAAGTTTTATATGTGTATGTGTATGTGTATGTGTATGTGTATGTGTATGTGTATGTGTATGTGTATGTGTATGTGTATGTGTATGTGTATGTGTATGTGTATGTGTATGTGTATGTGTATGTGTATGTGTATGTGTATGTGTATGTGTATGTGTATGTGTATGTGTATGTGTATGTGTATGTGTATGTGTATGTGTATGTGTATGTGTATGTGTATGTGTATGTGTATGTGTATGTGTATGTGTATGTGTATGTGTATGTGTATGTGTATGTGTATGTGTATGTGTATGTGTATGTGTATGTGTATGTGTATGTGTATGTGTATGTGTATGTGTATGTGTATGTGTATGTGTATGTGTATGTGTATGTGTATGTGTATGTGTATGTGTATGTGTATGTGTATGTGTATGTGTATGTGTATGTGTATGTGTATGTGTATGTGTATGTGTATGTGTATGTGTATGTGTACGTGTATGTGTATGTGTATGTGTATGTGTATGTGTACGTGTATGTGTATGTGTATGTGTGACCGATAATAGTAGTAGTAGTAGTAGTAGTAGTAGTAGTAGTAGTAGTAGTAGTAGTAGTAGTAGTAGTAGTAGATGTTATAACTAATATTTTTACTATTATTATTACTAGTTTTTAGTAACTATTATATTAAAATTGATAGTTATTAAATATATATATATATATATATATATATATATATATATATATATATATATATATATATATATATATATATATATATATATTATACAGTAGTTATATAATCTATTAGCCAATATATATCCCTGGACTATAGTAGAGCAGTATATTTATATTGAAATCAAATAATTATAAAATCATTATTTTCTAATTGATTGCATTAATTGCAAATTATTAATATTTATTGTATTATTATTATTGTAGTATAAGTAGTAGTAATAGTAATTTTATTATTATTATTATTATTACCTAGTTTTTAGTACCAATTATATATAAAAATGGTTAGTTATTAAATAAATAATTAAATGTAAGTATATAATCTATTAGCCAATATATATATACCTGTGTATATATATATTAAAGTATAGTTTTATTGAAATAAAAAAAAATAATTATAAAATCATTTATTAGCAATTAAATAGCATTAATTGCAATTAATTTTGTTGCAATGGCAACGTATTTTAAAGGCAATCATATCATAGTATTTGCGATTACAATCTAGTAAAACAAATTAAAAAAAAAAAATTTAAACTAAATAAAAATCAATTAATACATAAATGTTTTTTAGACCGAAAAAAAATAATTAAATATTCATAATTTTTTATATCAATCCAACAACGAGAGAGAGAGAGAGAGAGAGAGAGAGAGAGAGAGAGAGAGAGAGAGAGAGATAATATAATTTTTAATCATTAATTGCATTCACATGTCTAACACAACTAAATACTGTTATAGACTAATATTTTTTGCTAATTTTTATATCATAGAGTTATTTGTAATTATTTAATAATTTATTTATCACCAAAAATATGTATTATATTTAATTGAATATTTTTTTTATTTAATTAAATATATTTTGATGCTCTAGTAATTATATTTGTTTTTTTTTGTTGAATATAAAAATTTTTTTCTAGTAATAATTTTTTTTTTTAAAACAAGCAAATATATTTTTTGTTTATTCAAGCAAAATTAAATAATGCAATTAATGTTGTTTTTATAATTTTTTTTTTGATTTTAAATACAACTATACTGCTATAAATATATAAATATATTAGCATAAATACAGTATATTTGCTAATAGATTTTATAATTACTGTATATAAGAAGGCGTTCATTTAATTTGTACCAAAACTGTTTTCTTAATAATTTTTTAACCAATAGAGATAGATTATTTATATAAAAAAAAGATTATTATAAAGTAACTTATGTGTAATATTATACACTATTTTAAATTTTGTTTAAAATTTGGATCACGTGATCACATTTATCTTAGGTTTTTTTTTTGCGAATCACCAGTGCTAGAATAAAATTTTAATTTCAAGTTTGATAAGTTTCAATTGATAAATTGATTTTTTCGACCAATTTCAAATTTTTTTTTCCTTTAAAATAATTTATCAATTTAAGCTCTAATAAACTTGAAATTAAAATTTTATTCTAACATTTCTAGTTTATAGTTGGGACCTAATGGTTAGCAAACAACCTTAGATAAATGTGATCACTTGATCATGTGATCAAAAATTTAAAATTAAATAGTGTATAATATCACGCATAAGTTAAATAATCTATCTCTATTGGTTAAAAATTTATTAAGAAAACAGTTTTGGTACAAATTAAATAAACGCCTTCTTATATATATATATATATATAATGTAAATATTTAACAACTATCCATTTTATTAGTATAGCTACTTTAAAAAAAACTAGTTAGTATTAATAATATCAACAATAATTAAAATTATTAGCAATGTATTCAATAACTATACTGGCTCAATTATATATGGTATACACTATTATCAGTCAGCGTCAGCTCCGGCACAACCAACTGGCCTATCGGACACCATTACCACCTAAACACCATTCATACGATTTTATAGTAGTCGGCTCCGGTAGTGCCGGTGCTATTGTTTCGTGTCGTCTAAGCCAATGGGGTTGGGATGTACTGCTACTGGAAGCTGGCGGACCACCCGATGCCATACTAGATGATCTAACTGGATCAACTACCAATAGCTTGAATAGCCAATGGCACTATCAGTTTCAACGTCAAAAATATATCGGACATTCCTATCCGAATAATGGCCAACAATCCGATGTATTGGGCCGTGTATTAGGCGGTACCTCATCTATTAATTCAGTGGCTTATAGTAGGTATTATAACTATTAGAAAAATTTTTTCATGTTTTTTAAATATTAATAATCTAAATTTAACTAAAAAAAAATAAAATCAAACAAAATATAAAACATTAATCTAGATATAATATACAGTACATAAAAAATTTAGAAATTTTTTTTATAAACGTTTTATTACTTATTGTTGTTTGATATACGATATAAAATAATAATAATATATATATATAATTATTAGAAGTATATTTATTTTGAAATTTTTTTCTGTATTAATTGTTTTTATTATTACTTTTTTTAGTCAAAAAAAATATTTATAATATTTAATTATTATTATTATTTTTAAAATTTCTTTCACTAGAGGTAATCGCAAATACTATGATATGATTGCCTCAAAATACGGTGCCATTGGTTGGGATTATGCGAGTGTTTTGCCAGTATTTAAACTAACAGAAAACAATACCGACCCCCGGGTTAGTGATGAGTATCACGGAAGACATGGACCGGTAGGTGTGTCGTCAATTGATCAGGTATTACCTATATTTTTGAAACAAGCTGAGGCTGCCCGTGAATGGGGACTGGACTATACGGATATCAATGGCGCAAATCAAACAGGGTTTACAATTATGCAGTCGACCAGTAGCCATGGTCTACGATCATCGACTTTGATCGCCTATTTGGAAAGTGGTTTGTGTCCCCGATTGACAATAGTTACCGGAGCTGTGGTATCTAAAATTATAATCAAACGTAATAATCCAAATGATAACCAACAACCTCCCCGGGCACAGGGAGTCGAGTTTATTAAGTCTAATCGTACTTATCGTGTATGGACCAAACGTGAAGTCATTGTATCGGCAGGTAATCCTATCGATTGTATATAATTTATACCATTATTACTAATCAGGGTTTTAAGTAAATAAACGCATGCCCTGGCAATGCCCAAATAGACTAAATTGCCTGCCAATTTAAATGGCTAAAAATGCAACGGTATTTATGGAAAGTTATGTATTTTAGTGATGTTTTTTAGCAAGGTAATTAAATTTACAATTAATATACAATTATTTCGCAGTAACTATTACCTTTAAATTACAATTAAGAAAATTACAAACAAATATAAACACATAAGAAAATGTTTAATTAATAAATAAATAACAGGTGCCATTCAACCATCTGAAAATAAATGCCCACTGCATGGCAGAGGCAGGCCAGTCATAATTTAACAAAATTGGCATCTATTGTTTATGCCTGACTTATATTTAAAACCCTGTATTACTAGTACATGTATTATTATTTTTTTGTTAATTTTTAATTAATTTTGGTATTTTAATTTAAATAATAATTAGGCATAATCGGCACACCACAGTTGCTTATGCTGTCGGGTGTGGGACCGGCCGGCCATATACAGGACACGGCCGGTATACGGGAAGTGTATGTCGATCTGCCGGGTGTTGGCCAAAACTATTGCAATCAGGTAGCATTGTTTCTAGATTTCCCAATACGTCCATCATCAACTGATGGTGATCTGATTGGACCGACACCAACAGTGTCCAATCTAACACAATTGTACCAGGCAACTGTACTGGGTAGGGGCCCGCTAGCCCAACGACAAAATGCCATAATGTATTGGACATCACAGGGTGGTATGGTAGATAGAGATTATCCAGATATCTATCTGGTCGGTACTATTAGTCCCAATATTAATAGTCCAACTAATAATCAACAACAACATCTAACACTATACGTTTCACTGGTCAGCCCAGTCAGTTGCGGCACAGTTAGACTAAATAGTAGTCGTATAGAGGATCAACCCCTGATTGATGCTAAATCATTGTACGCTAAAATTGATCGCCAAAGGTTTCGGGAGGCAGTTAGCCGTACGTTTCGTTTTGCCGAAACTACTAGTCTATCCGATTATATTAGTATACCGACGGAACCGAAAGAAAATTGTCGGTACTGTACCACTGGTCCTGTCTATCAGTGTTGGAGTTATATTGATTGTTTGATCAGGGAATGGGCCAGTGCCGAAGCTCATCCAGTAGGTACCAGTCGTATGGGTGATCCCCGACGCCCGGATACTGTAGTCGATCCCAGATTACGTGTTAAAGGTATCCGAGGGTTACGTGTTTGCGATGCATCCATCTATCCGGAGGTAATGAATTCAAATACAAATGCGGCGGCAATGTTGGCCGGGGAGATGGGCGCCCGATTCATACATGAAGATAATCAATAGATCAATAGACTATATATATATAATATATMTATATATATATATATAATATATATCTATATATATCTATATATATATATATAATATATCTATATATATATAATATATATCTATATATATATAATATATATCTATATATATATAATATATATCTATATATATATATAATATATATATATATAATATATATCTATATATATGTCTTAATATTATATTTTGTATTTTGAAAACTATTATTAATAATAATTAAGTTAATAAATTGATTGTTTGTTTTTTGTTGTTGTTGTTGTTTAACTAATTTAACTAATTATTAATAATAATAATAATTACCGCTAATATATATATATATATATATATATAGTTGGCTTCGATAGCTAACGTACGACTGGCCACATATTTTTATTGTAAATAATTCATTTATATAATTGACAATAATTACAGTCAAATATATTATAACTACAAATTTATAATTAATAAAAAATAGTTAACTTTATAATTAATTTTAAAATAAACTACAAAATAAATTTAGAATATTATAATCAGTAAAATTTAATTTATAATTTTTTTATATTATATGTTAAATGTTACAATTAATAAATTTTTTTTTATAAATATATATATATATATATTATAATTTTATTTGTGTTCGAATATAATTATTATATACAGTATTATGCTATATAAATATATATATATATATATATATATGTATATACTATTAAATATATATTAAAACTAAACATTTACATTATTAATAATTAAATATAAACTATTAATATAAATAGGTATATAACGGTATATATTATTATATAAAAATAATAGTAATAATAATATTATTGTAATTAATTAATTAACTATTGATTATCTTCATGTATGAATCGGGCGCCCATCTCCCCGGCCAACATTGCCCCGGCATTTGTATTGGCATTGATTATCTCCGGATAGACGGACGCATCGCAAACACGCAAACCACGGATACCTTTGACACGTAATCTGGGGTCGACTACAGTATCCCTGCGCTGGGGATCACCCATACGACAGGTACCTACTGGATGAGCATCGACACTGGCCCATTCCCTAATCAAACAATCAATATATGTCCAGCACTGGTAGACAGGACCATTGGGACAGTACTGACAATTTTTAATCGGTTCATTGGGTATACTAATATATTCGGATAGACTAGTAGTTTCGGCAAAACGATATGCCCGGCTAATTGCCTCACGAAATCTTTGGCGATCAAATTTATCTGATAATGATTTGGCATCAATCAGGGGTTGATCCTCAATACGACTACTGTTTAGTCTAACTGTACCGTAGCTAACTGGCCTTACGAGTGCAACGTACAGTGTTAGATGTTGTTGATCGTTAGTATTCGTCGGACTAGTAAAATATGGACTGATCGTACCGACCACATAGATATCTGGATAATCTCTATCTACCATACCACCCTGGGACGATGACCAATACATTAGGGCATTTTGTCGCTGGGCTAATGGACCCGTACCCAGTACGATTGCCTGATACAATTGTGTTAGGTTAGTCAATGTTGGCCAGGGACCAATCAAATCATCATCAATTGATGATGGACGTGGAAAATCTAGAAACATTTCCACATGATTGCAATAGTTTTCGCCAACACCGGGCAAATCTACATATACTTCCCGTATACCGGCCGTGTCCTGTAGATGACCGGCCGGTCCTATACCCGACAGCATAAGCAACTGTGGACTGCCTATTGTGCCTATTATTTCAAATTAAAATATATTAATAATATACAGTATATATATATATATATATATATATATATATATATTAAAAAAAATTAACAAAAATTATAATATAAATATTATTAATACAGGGTTTTATAAATGGCAGACAGGCATGGCAATAAACAATAGATGCCAATTTTTTTTAGCCAAATGCCTGGCCATCTATTTTTTAAGATGGTGACGCCACTTAATATTAAATATTATTTATTTATTTATTTAAAAAAAAATAAAATTATTGTTTTATCGTTAATATTTGTTTTGTAATTAAAAGTCAAAATATCAATGCGAAATAAGTATATTAATTGTAAAATTAATTACCATACTAAAAACCACTAAAATACAGTTGCTTTTTAAAAAATTTAAATTGGCTTAGGTTATTTAAATTAGGGCAGTTATGGCATCTATTTGGGCATTGCCAGGGCATGTATTTATTTATTAAAAAAAAACCCTGCTTAGTATACACATAATAATTATAATAATAATAATGGTATAAATTTTATACACTATAGGATTACCTCCAGATACTATGACTTCACGTTTGGTCCATACATGATAAGTACGATTATACTTAATAAACTCGACTCCCTGAGCACGGGGTGGTTGGTTGTTATCATCATTTGGATTCATACGTTTGATTATCACTTTAGATACCTGAGCTCCGGTAACTATAGTCAATTTAGGACATAGACCACCTTCCAAATAGACATTATTGGTCGATAATCGTAGACCATGTCTAATGGTCGACTGGTAAATTGTAAACCCTGTTTGATTCGGGCCATTGATATCCGTATAGTATAGACCCCATTCACGGGCAGCCTGGGCTTGTTTTTCAAATATAGGTAATACCGGATCCCATGTAGAGACAACTATCGGTCCCTGTCGGCCGTGATATTCATCACTAAGCCGGGGGTCGGTATTGTTTTCCATTTGCTTGAATACTGGCAAAACACTCGCATAATCCCAACCAATGGCACCGTATTTTGAGGCAATCATATCATAGTATTTACGATTACCTCTAATGAAACAAATTTATTTCAACAAAAAAAATTAATAAATAAATAAAAATTATAAATATATTTTTTTTGACTATAAAAAATAAAAATAATATTAAAATTTAATACAGAAAAAAGTTTTCAACAAACAAATAAACAAACAAATTATAACTATTATAACTAAAATAATTATTATTAGCATTAATTTTATTAAATTTATATATATATGTCATTTCTTGAATATATGTCCAAAAACTTTTAGTTTAATAAATATTTTTTAGGACTAATAAAAGTTAGTTTAGTTTTAGTTTTATTTGACAAACAATAGTTAGGATAGCTTTCAGATGTTTAGTTAAAAGGGTAATAAATAGGGAAAGGGTTAGTTTAGGTTCAGGGTCAACATTGAGGGTTGGGGTCATAAAAATAGACAATATATACATTTTCAGGACACGACAACAGGCACTCTCACTCTGGGCATTGAAGTGATCGGTCGCTGAGACAACACTTTCAATGTCACAAACTCTACATTCATTTCATGTTTTAAATAAAAATAGTTTGATTTAACTTTAAATATAAATTTGAATTTTAATTAAAATAAAATTAAGTATAAACCACTCGGACCTGACATTTTGGTGTCATCGTAAGGGGTATTGATCAACAAAAATATCAATAAACCCACAAAAATTGTGAATAATTGATTGAATAGACATTAATTAAAATAGTGTAAAAAAATTGTGGTTATGTTGAGTGACTAGTCTACAGATAGTACAACAGTGCGGACAACATTTGGTTTCATAATTGGTTTTTATATTTTGTCATAATTTTGGTCTCATATTTGGTCGACAAATTTTGGTCGTAACTTTGGTCTCATACGGTATTATTTGTTTCAATTGGTTGGTCTCGCATATCTGTTTTGGTACAACTCTGGTAAACAGTAAGACATAACAAGTTTAATATACAGTATATTTTTGCGCAAATTTGAGTCATTTGTGGCAAATATTGAATTTATAAATGAGTGTTAATTTTGGTGGTACTATATATGAAGATATATTGCATGTATTTAATTGAATGATTGCATGATTTAAATATTTAAAATAATTGAAAATGTCTGAATCTGGTGTTGATGAGACACCTACGGTATCTACTGGTGGTGATAGTGTCACAGTAGCTAACATATCAAATGCAATTGCAGATAGGTTGTCCAGTAGCCGACAACACTATATACCCGTATTTTCGGTGGGTAGGGATGAGTGTCCGATTAAATTCATTAGAACCTTTGATAGGGTAGCCAAAGCTCTCAATTGGGAGGACACGGTAAAGATGAATAAGTTTCCAAATTATTTGAGTAATGCTGCGGAAAAATTTTATTACATTAATTTTGATTGTGCTGTAGATAGTGTTGAGGCGGACGATGACGACATCGTAAGGCCTGAGAATTGGGAAGAGTTGAAGTCTAGATTTTTAGACCATTTTATGCGCGGCGACTATAAGAGTCATATCAGTCGGGAACTGTCTAAGAGAAAGAAATTAGAGACCGAATCAATGATGGTTTACATAACTTCAATACAAAGTTTATGTCATGATTTAGATGATAATATGTCGACTGAACAGATTATATCCTATTGTTTGAATGGTATGGATGCAGAGATAGCATCTAAAATTCAATGTTTTAATCCGACTATTAAAGAATTAGTTAAAATTGAAAAAAATGTAGAGTTATCCGATGAGCGGTTGAAACAAAGTAAAAGCTATGATAAATTAGGCAATAATAGCAAAAAGGGTGTCAATGCTGTGTCGACACAATCAGTTGATATAAGTTCTCTTAATATCAATGATCCGATAGTATGTGCTTTAATGCAATTGTCAGACAAAGTGAATAATATGAATAAAAATGTAATATTTAATAGAAATGGTAACAATAATTACAATAATTTTAAGCAAAATAATGGTTATATCAATAGAAATGTGAATACTATTAGTAAAAATAACAGTAATATCGCGCAAAACAATACAAATGGTTTTAATAGAAATGTTAGGCAAAACAATATAAGTTGTTTTAATTGTGGAAAAGTCGGACACAAACGCGCGGAATGCCGGTGACAGAACCGCCAGATGTTTTATAATAGAGGACAGCAAAATAATTTTAGGCCAAATAATTATATACAGCCTAATATGCAAACACAGTTTAATGGTCAGTCATTAAACGGTATAGCAAACCAAAGGGGGCCAATACAGGCATACAATAGACAG